GCCATGGTGAGGGTGCGGGCCTGCCCTCAGTGCCGAAGCAACCGGGCGTAGTGGAGGCTACAAACTCCAACATCGAGGCTGCGGATTACAACAGTGCTGAGAGGCTGTCAGTGCCTAACGAGGAAAGACCAGCACCAGCGGATAACAGCGCGGAAACAACTTACGTTCCACTTGGATCTCCGAAATGGAGTACAGTTGTGAAGCTGGGCCAACGTCAGCAAAGGGAGCCCGCTGCTGCTAAGTCTGCGTCCCGCAGCAGGCTATTACTATCCGGGGCTGGGCAGAGGAAAAGTGGGAAGACCGTGGTGGGCACTGGAGCAGCCGGGAACATCAAAATGATCAATACTAAGTTGGTGAGTGTCTTTGCTTCAAAATTCTCACCAGACTTAGAAGCGGAAACTTTACGCACGTATCTCAGAGACAGACTTGGGCATGAAGTGACGTGCAACAGAATTGTTACCACAAACGACAGATATGCTTCGTTCAAAGTAACTGCTGAATGCAAAGAAGTTGATGCCATGTATGACCCCGAGCTGTGGCCCGAGGGAACATTTGTTAGGCGTTATTATGAGCCGCGTAAAGTTGCCACTGGTGCCAAGGCTGCTGCTGTCATTTCTGGAGCTATGTGCGCGCCGAGTGCTAACGCGAGTTCTCATTAAACCACCATGGATATCAAAGTCCTATCATACAACTGTCGTGGCCTGCGTCTGGGCCAGAGCGCGGATGATAAAGCTTGCCGTTTTGTTGTCGATCAATTGTTGGATGACCATTGTGAAATGTTGTGCTTACAAGAAACGTTCCTTGCAAAGCAGGATTTGAAAGGGATTAACGCCATCAATGAGAGATTCCTTGGTACAGGCGAGTCTACTACTGACCTCAGCCTAGGGGTCAGAAGAGGAAGAATAGCAGGGGGCGTGGCTATTCTGTGGAAAAAGAGTCTAGACTCAGTTGTAAACGTCATCAGGCTCAATGCGGACTGGTGCATCGCAATTCGATTGTCACAGCACAACAAGGATATTGTGATATTAAATGTATATGCTCCTTATGAATGTAATCAGAATGAAGAGGAGTACCTAAGTAAGCTTGCTTTTATTAGTGCCTTTGTGCAAAATGAAAAGTCCTCCAGTGTTTATGTCATTGGTGATTTAAATGCAAATATCTTAGATAAGAACTCTGTTTTTGGGAGCCACTTAAACATGTTCTGTGCAGATAATCACCTTACACTGTCCAGTAGGGAGCACCTGCCTGAACAAAGTTACACCTATATGTGAAGCCTGGCACACTGTGTCGTGACTGGACCACTGCATCACTACAGAGGATGCTCATGCTGCTCTGTCGGCCATGAGCATCTTGTATGAAATGTCCAGTGCAGATCATATCCCTGTATCAATGTTCATCAGATTTGGCATTATACCCAACATGCAGGAAGTTAAACATAGTGAAAGTAAACACCTGGACTGGTCTGCTCTCTCTTCAGAAGAGCTTGCCTGTTATTGTGCTCACACTGACATGTTGCTAAATAATATTGCGCTGCCAAAAGGAACAGTTATGTGCTCTGATTACAATTGTACGGATGCTGGACACAGGACATCTATTTCTGTTCTGTACTCCGACATTTCTTCTGCATTAATTGAATCAAGTGCGCCTTTTTGTAAATACAGAAAGAAAGGCCAAATAAGACCTGGTTGGAACTCTCATGTGGCTACTTCCCATGCTGAAGCCCGTGACGCTTGTAAGGCATGGGCGACTGCAGGAAAACCCAGACAGGGACCTTTGTTTGAGCATAAAAAACGTACAAATGCACAATATAAGTACGCCATTCGATTCCTATGTAAAAATGAGGAAACAATACGGGCTGACTCCATGGCCAATAAGCTTTTAAATAATGACACCAAGGCCTTCTGGAAGCAGGTTAAAGGTATAAATAATAGCAAACCCTGTCTACCTCACACTGTAGATGGAGTCACTGGGTCCCACTCTATTGTAGAACTGTGGAGAAAACATTATTTTAAACTGTTTAACTGTGTCTCAAGTGAACCGTACACTGTCAACAATGTTGACTTTGTGGATTCAATTAAAGTGCATGAGGTACAACAAGCTATTAATATGCTATCAAATAATAAATCCACAGGAATGGATCATATATGTGCTGAGCATCTTAAATATGCCAGTATGAGGTTGGCCCCTCTTCTGGCCATATGCCTCTCTACCTTTGTTGTACATGGTTTTATCCCAGACTCAATGATGTCTGTGTTGTTGGTTCCTGTGATAAAAGGAAAGTGGGCAACTCTGATAAGTACAGACCAATCGCCCTGGCAAATATACTGTCAAAAACATTTGAGCAAATCCTTGTGAGCAGGCTCAGTGTTTACATTGGCTACACGGACAATCAATTTGGCTTCAAAGCCCATCATGGTACTGACATGTGTATTTATGCTTTAAAAGAATTGTTAAGTAAATATAAAAGTAGACAATCCACTGTTTTTATGTGTTTTTTAGATGCCTCCAAGGCTTTTGACCGTGTTAACCATGCCAAATTGTTTCACAAACTATGTCAAGCCAATGTTCCTAAATATGTAGTTCGTTGCCTGTCTTACTGGTATGCCCATCAGACTCTGGAGGTCAAATGGGATAACTGTGTATCTGCACCCTTTCAGGTCAGCAATGGTGTGAGACAAGGGAGTTTGCTGTCTCCAATTTTATTTAATTTTTATATGAATGACCTGTCTAAAGAATTGAACTGGTGTAGAACTGGGTGTGTTGCTGGAGATAACATCGTCAACCACTTGATGTATGCTGATGACCTGGTGATTTTCAGTCCGAGTTCAGCTGGTCTCCAGCAGCTGCTTGATGTGTGTTCGGCGTACGGTGAACAAAACAATATCAAATATAATGAAAGGAAAAGTGTCATAATGACCTGTCGAACCAAAGAGGACCAAGCCCTGGTGTTTCCTGACTTTAAGCTATCTGGAAACATCCTAAAAACTGAAAGCACGGTGAAGTATCTTGGTCATATCCTGACAGATCGTCTGTCAGACGATGAGGATATGTATCGACAGTGCCGTATGCTGTACGCCCAGGCTAATATTTTGTTGCGTAAATTTGGACACTGTTCTAATGCAGTAAAAGTGGCTTTGTTTCGGGCATACTGCACCCCGCTTTACACCGCGCATCTGTGGGTGAACTATAAAAAGTCCAGCCTACAGAGACTGAAAGTGGCCTACAACGATGCCTTCAGACTGTTGCTAAAAAGGCCCAGATGGAGCAGCGCTTCTGAACTTTTTGTGTCCTTTCAAGTGAACACACTGCAGGCCAACTTGAGGAACCTAATGTACAAGTTTATGTGTCGCCTGGACAATAGTGCAAATATGATGATTTTAGTGTTGACGAGTAGAGCATACAGTGATGTTCGTTATACCTCTGCACTGTGGAAACACTGGTATAGATGCCTCCTCTAAAGAGATTTGGGGACTTTTAATTGTTTTATGTTGTCTGTTTTTAGTGTGTTGTGTCTTGTCTATTTTTGTGTTTTGGACTACGAGTCTGTAATAAAAGCTATCTATCTATTTAGTAGACGTTGACTTTCAGGAAAACTTCAGGTTTTGGAGGGTGGTTCTAAAATCGGCCATAGGTTTTACAGATCACACCAGGTGTGTCAGGCCTTTATGGGTTAAGGAGAGTATGAACGGGGCAATGTATTGTGAGATTTTGGCCAAAAACCTCCTTGCCTCAGTCAGAGCATTGAAGATGGGTCGTGGATGGGTCTTCCAACATGACAATGACCCGAAGCACACAGCCCGGATAACCAAGGAGTGGCTCCATGAGAAGCATATAAAAGGTCTGTAGACGGGCTAGGCCACTCCAGAACCAAGTCCAATAGAAAATCTTTAGAGGGAGCTGACGCTGGGTTGGATTTGACTTCTGTAATTACAAACAAAGGCTTCTGCACTAAATATTAACTCTGTTGTTCTCATGTGTGCAAATACTTATGAAAACCAGCAACATAGAAAGAAATCACCAAAAAAATCATAGAATGTGATTTACGGATGTTTATTTTTTTATTGTGGAAATACATCTATGACAAACATTTCAGACCTCTCCCTAATTTCTAAGTGGGACAACTTGCAAAATTGCTGGGTGTAGAATTACTTGAGGACCTCACTGTAAGTAGCCAGGGAGAGGTGAGGAGCAAGCCATGTGTATAACAGCGGCTATTACATCATTGATTTGTTTTAAAAAGTGAAGATGTTGTCAGTCTAGTCTATCAGCACATTTTGCATGTCACTGATCCAATAATTTTTCCCCAATATCGGCCTGTTCAGGGTGACTGACTGACATGGTGCACCTCTAATTTTGATGCATTGGGAGCACCGCACATTATGTTCTAAAACAAAACATGAAGATAAATTAATATTCTGCTTAACAAATATTTGCTGTGAATGTTTCTCTACAAACCTAATTTTTTAAGATCTTAGAACTGCAGCAAAATTGTGGAATGTCGACAAATCATCCTGCGTTGGAAGGTGCTAGAAGTTTTTTGTTTTTCAAACCGCTTGTCAAGGGATTCACAGGAATGCTAAATTCTAAAGAGGATTCAATATAAAGACATTTCCATACACTATTTAATTGATCAGCCAACTTTTTTTCTTTTTTTTTAAAGTATCAAAACGTTTGCTTTGTTTTTAGAACACAATGTGCAGTGTTCCCAATGCAAAATTGGATTGTTATTTATTCATGTTTTCATACACACTTTTTTACACCATTATATTTTCCCCACTGTAGATGCTTTGCTTAGTGTTTGTGCTTGATCAAGAATGGAGTGTTTTCTTTAGATATATAATGACATGCATGATTGTTAACGAAGAAAAATAATTATCTACTGTTAAAGCTGTAATCAAAAACAAAAACACATCACAAAAAAGTTATCCTCAGGTAGTCCATAGTCTGCATTTTATAGACCCAATGAAAGTATGTTATTAACGATTGGTTTTCTTTTTAAGCGCGGATGAGGTCTTGCTGAAACCCACTGGTGCCCAGCTCACAGTTGAATTTCTTGAAGAACACTCCTTTAGTGTTCCTGTTATGGTGCTTCGAAGGGATGGTCTTGGAATGACTTTGCCTCCATCTTCATTTACAGTCAGCGATGTAGAAAACTACATTGGTAAGTTTGGTGTTTACCTTTTATACAATAAAAAAAGCACTATTCTGACTAGTTTAGGCTTATAGTTGCTTTCTTTTTTTAAATTCAGGCTCAGACAAGGAGATTGATGTGATTGACGTGGCTCGCCAGTGTGACTTAAAGATGCGTTTAGGGGAATTTGTTGAATATTACAACAGTCCCAATAGAGACAAAGTGCTTAATGTAATTAGCCTGGAGTTTTCCGAAACCAGGTAAGTGTTCTTTCTATTGGACGTTTTCAACATGAAATTGTAAAAGTATACAGTAAATATCTTTTAATTTTCAGACTTTCAAATTTGGTGGAGACTCCTAAGATTGTTCGAAAACTGTCATGGGTTGAAAACCTCTGGCCAGAAGAGTCTGTTTTTGAACGTCCTAATGTACAAAAGTACTGTTTAATGGGAGTCAAGGACAGCTACACAGACTTTCACATTGACTTTGGAGGCACTTCTGTGTGGTACCATGTTCTTAGAGTAAGATTTAGCTATTCAACTTATGAAGCACTTTGAATATTTAAATAGAAAATTATATCTTAATTTTGTCTGTTAAGGGGGAAAAGATTTTCTACCTGATCTCCCCCACACCAGCCAATCTGGCACTTTTTGAAAGATGGAGCTCTTCTTCTAATCAAAATGAAATGTTCTTTGGAGACCAGGTGGATATGTGTTACAAATGTTCACTGAAACAAGGAAACACATTATTCATTCCAACAGGTATGCAATCATGGACACTTTATTCTGTTTGTCATTTGGCTTTCATATTATTTTATTTTGACTTTTAGGATGGATCCATGCTGTCCTTACTCCAGTTGACTGTCTGGCTTTTGGAGGAAACTTTTTACATAGCCTCAACATTGACATGCAACTACGGTTGGTTTATTTAAATCACTCACATTTTTGACATGCAGCTTAATCTTTCAATCCACCTAAGTATTGAGACCATTTTTTTATTACTGTACTTACTTTTTGCTAATTGAATATTTATATAATTTTGTAATGATAATTTAATTCCTTTTTAGAGCATACGAAATAGAGAAAAGGTTGAGCACAGCAGAACTATTCAAATTTCCCAATTTTGAAACTGTATGCTGGTATGTTGGAAAGCATCTTTTGGACACTTTTAGAGGTATTTAAAAAAACCTTAAAAAAAATCCACTTTATGTTAATAATATTCTAATATATAAATTGAATCTATATTTCTTTCTTCCATTTTTGTTAGGTTTAAGAGAAAATCGCAGACATCCTGCTTCTTACCTCGTCCACGGAGCAAAAGCACTAAATAATGGTTTCCGCAGCTGGACCCGCAAAGAAGTAAGCCAACTGTGCTTTCATTGATAGTGAAAGTTAAACTAAGAATAACACAATTTTCTGTTTGTGTCTTTAAGGTACAGCTATTAAGTATTTGACTGTATAGACCTTAGTAAAATGGGGGCACTTTTGAATATTGTAAAGGAGACATAATGTTCTACTGTCTGCTCTTCATAATCTGAATTAGCCTGAATTATGATGAAGGCCCTCAATAATACTAATAATAGCCACATCCAAATCATGAGTGAGATGGTTGGCTTCATGCGACTTTTGCATCTGTAGGGGATGCTATATGTCTCACAATTTTGCAAATTTTATTATTTGACTTGTATTTGTATGGGTAAAGAACAACGTCAAGTGCTCAATGTTTATTGTGAGGGAAAGAAAAATTGCCACTGGTTAAGAAGAAGAGCCCTAATATAGAACTGAACATAATATATACAATAATGAACATTATGTAGCACATTTGTCATTTTTACATGTCATTTTTTACAACATTTAAATAAAAATCAATAGTATAGCTTCATCTGTTCACTCTCCTAATCTATTAAGGATGTGCTGCCACATACTTGTTAATGGGATTATTTATCCTATTTACTTTTACTATTGTGTTTGATGATCAGAGTTATCAGATGCAATATTATTTTTACTGTGTTCCAAAGGCATTAACAGAGCATGAAATGGAGATTCCTGAAAATATCAACACTCAGTTGCTGGTAAAGGATCTGGCAAAAGAAATCCGTCTGGTAGAGGTAAACATTTAAATTATGCCTTGTTTTATTTTACATTTGATTTACATGCTGGTGTTTTATAGGACATCTTTCAGCAAAACATTGGTCGCACAGGGCCACAATATCCTGGGTCACCACTTACAAAAGCCCCTCTCGCCGCATCCCTGAATTTAGGGCGACCATCTGCAAAGAAGAAGGGTCCCAAATCAAAAGAAGTTATGGGTGCTCCACCCCAAGCTGGAGTCAAGAAAAAAAGTCAGAAAGCAGCTGTGAAAGTGGAACCTGGCGATATTGATCTCCTTGAGATTCATACAAAACACACGCTGAAGAAATTTCAAACTGCCAAATCTAAAGGCAAAAACAAGGTAATGCTGGAAATTATTTCTGGTTTTAAAGGATACTCATTCTGTTAATCTGTGTTTATGCTTGCAGTTTGACCTGCCATTGAATGAATTTGAAGGGAAATTTAATAAAAGCAAATTGAAGCTTGTGTTAACGAATGGAAAGATCCAAGGGTAAATTTCAAATTGTACGGTTTTTTGACCTCTATTATGCTCTTCAAGATGACATTATTTATTTTAATTAACTTGTAGAAAGAAAGATGGTGGTAGCAATGGAGCAGTATCAACCAGTAGCTATCAACAGTTTGAGATGGAAGGATCCAGTGCCTCTGACTTTGAATCTGAGGATGAGCTGCAAATTGATGAGACACCTCCTCCAAGACGAAAGCAAGCAGCATCCAGCAAGAAGAAGAAACTCAGTGGTAAGACATCATTTCAACAAGCAGTTAATCTAATCCAAGAGTCTCCAACCTTTTTCTTGGGAGCTACAAGGAGCTCAGGAAGGATTCAGAAATGCAACACAATGCAATATAGCACTACAATAAATATGTTCTGTTTATAATTATTACAGTACACTCTGCCATTCCTGTTTGTACAATTTTTTTTCAAGTTCACACAATGGGTAGATTTTTTTAATCTGAAAGGCGCAACACAACTCATTGCTTTAAATTGTTGCTTTAACCCCTACTCTAGAAGCTTATTGTTCCACAGCTCTGTTTTATGTATAGTACTAATGATGCCCTATTGTTATCAAACAAGATGATTAGTGTTCATTGAGCTCGCACTACTCTCTTAAATTAGTCCTGTACATAATTTGTAGCGTATAGAACTTGCCTTTTGTTGCGTTGTTGTCAGGAAAGACTTCTCCCGTCGACTCCGACCCAGGGCTTGTTGCCTCAAACCTGGAGTTCCGATGCAGTCCTGAATGCAGAAGGCCTTTTTGTTGCTACCAGAAGTCCATGTTTGAGACAAGCTCAGCTCCTGGAGGAAGTGTTGGGATACGGCTTCGAAGGACCAACTGTTATTGCTGTTTTAATCACAGTCAATCCTGAAAAAATCACAAACACAAAGGCATAGTTCCTGCATTCTGTATTACTTGATTGCATTCCAAGGAGACAAGTTCTGTAGAGAAAAGGCACAGCTTAGCTAAGCCTCGTGTCTAAAACATGTCTGAAGCTCAACAGTCTGTAAGGCAGTATTGAAGAAGATGAGACACACCTTCAACAGGAAGAGAAACCAATAGACCACAAAAGGACAATGTGACGAGGCCTTCAACATCAGCATTTAGCATCCTAAAAGCCTGCTTCGGGCTGGGCTTCCCTCCATGTGGGCTCCCCCAGACTTCCTGGCGCCAAATATGATTTACCAAAATGATAACTTAAATAACATTCCAATGTAATCTTCCATCAACAATAGTATTACTCATGTGAGTAACAATGTAATGCATTTTAAACATTACGTACATTTTTAGGATAGAGGTTTCCCAAAGCAAATGAAGGCATATTTGGTTGAGCTCACTCACATAATACTACAATAAACACACATACAGTACAGCTTTTAGAATATGGCTTTAAGAAGACAAAATTAACTTTTTACATTGAGTTTTTAGAATATATTTGTTTTAGAAAATAACGCTTTTGAGGAAGTAACTTTTTTCAATACTCCCTACATTAAAAGTATGTTGTGATATTTTGCTGTTGCATACAGATTATTTGATTTGCATGCTTTATTCACAAATGCATTATTATATTCTCAGGTCTACCAAGAAAGCTGCCAAGAGCAAAACCTTGTTCGGATCCCAATCGCATTCGAGAGCCAGGAGAAGTTGACTTTGATATTGAAGTGAGCTCAAAGAATAATATTTGTAACTGTTCATCAGAAACAATTTTTAAATTTTTAATCTGAAGGAGGATTATACCACTGATGAAGAGACCCTAACAGCTCATGGAGTGAAGGGGGGTGCAGGAGGAATTCTTGATTTACTCAAAGCCAGTAAACAGGTAGCAGGCTTGGACCCAGCACTTGGGTGAGCACCTGTCTGTGTGTGTGTGTGTGTGTGTGTGTTACACATTTTAATATAAAGGATTTTTTAGGGTAATTTTATGAATTTCATATTCCTTATGTTAAATGTGAAATGTGTGTGTTTCCTTCAGTGAAGAAGCACCGGCCTCCCCCAGCACCTGTGATGCCATTCAAGGCATGCTTTCTATGGCAAATCCTCCCTCATCATCATCTTCTTCATCTTCTTCATCACCGTTATCTATTTCTGGAGGATTGACGGAGGGACTGGGCATGGTAAAGGACAAAGGAGGCAAATCTGTGTGGGTGACTCCTGCTGGGGTCAAAAAGCCTGAGAAGAAGCCCATCATTCAGAGACCTGGAAAGCGGGCCATCAAAAGACCAGCACGTCACTTGAGTGATGAAGAGAGTCCTGATGAACAGGAGACACTAGGAACCTGTTTTAAGGACTCTGACTATGGTAAGATATTTCCAGCTCCATGATGAACTTGTTTTGCATACTAGGCACATGATCACAATTCAATGGGAAAATAAAATAATACACAATAATAAGTGCTTATACTATACATAATATGTCTGAATAAAAGACAGGTGAATAATCATACAGTATAATCACCCTTATTGTGTAAAGATTAGGGCTGTCAAAATTATTGCGTTAACGCATGTTAATAACATTTTATCATCAATAGCGTTAAAAAAATGTACACATTTGGCGCATGTGGCGAATGATCCGCCCATGATCTATTACACATGCGTGTGTAAGATGTCGACAGAGCAGGTAGGCACTCTGGGAATTCAAGTTTAAAAAGAATACAAGCACTTGCTTTTATTTGCTGAATTAACTCGAACTCTGCATCCTCCGTGGCCGCAGCATGGGGGCAGCTGCGACCCCCTCTGGACAGAGGTTGCCACCTCCAGCGGCTGTGAGCCGCTAACAACAACCAAGGCGAATGGCGCCGCTGTAACGTGAGCACCAAGACCGTATATGCCACAGAACTATTCTCTGCTTGTTGTGCACAGTGAGTGTCTTTGCATCACCTGTGCACGCAATAAATACACTGCTGAAACTGGACTATGGAGACTCAGAAAGTCTCTGTGTCTTCCCTGTGTCTCCTCCGTGTCTCCTCCCGAAGCGCAACTAAACTTGCTAAATTATCAGAATCAGAATCATTTTTATTGCCACGTAAGTAACAGGAAGTCACAGACTTGGAAATTGTTTTGGCTCAGTGCAACAGTCAGAAAGAGAGGTAAAGAGTAGAGATGGCACACACACAAAAATCAGCAACACTTCAAAGGAATAAGAATTAAAATAGAATTATTGCAATTACTATATACAATATACAAGTGCACATGGTGCACACAATATAAAGTGACAGGAGTAAAGTGGCGTTATGATGGGCAGTAAAGTGACATTATAAAGGGCGGTAAGGTGACTTCTAAAGGGCGGGGGGACAGGTTATGAAGTGTTCAAGAGTCCAACAGCAGAGGGGAAGAAACTGTTCTTATGGCGAGAAGTTCTGGTCCTGATGGACCGAAGTCTCCTGCCTGAGGGGAGAGGTTGGAATAGTCCATGTGTAGTGTGAGAGGGGTCTGCTGTGAGACGACCAGCCCAGCCTCGAGCTCGGGCGACGTACAGGTCCTGCAGCGATGGAAGGCTGCGGCCGATCACCTCTGCAGAGCGCACGATGCGCTGTAGTCTTTGCTTGTCCCTGACTGTGGCTTCAGCGAACCACACGGTGATGGAAGAGGTGAGGATGGACTTTATATAGCTGGGGTACCTAATTTTTCCCAAAAGTAAAATGTTGTGAGCAAATCAAACAGATTTAATGACATTCTGCATTTCAGACTGTTTTGAAATGTTCCATTCTTATCCCTGTTCAACAATAGTTTTGGTTTGTGTCTACTACAGAAAGACAATGTTAATAATGTTAATGCCATTTTATGTGGATTTATTATTGTTATAGTAAACAAATACAGTACATATGTAAACTATGTTGTCACTTATCTTTCCATTCAAACAACCATTTACAGAAAAATATGGCAAAATGTTGCTTCAAAATGCAATTTATTACGATTAATTATTTTTTAAGCTCTAATTAACTCAATTAAAAATGTTAATCGTTTGACAGCCCCAGTAAAGATGCAAACAAAACTAGCATCAAAACTAGTAACTACAAAGTTAATCTCAGGACATTGGTAAAGTGCTAAATATCCAGAGGAGAACTTATTGCAAAGTCCAAAAAAATGCTTGAATGCCAGTCTGATTCCTTGATTGGTTGGTGGAATATGGTGACTTGCTCCTGCCCTCTGGTGGTTCAATTATGTAAATATCAAATGTACATATTTAACACACTTCGTAATGCTACAAATGCTACAAACTTGCCTAAAGGCAACATGTAGGGATTGAACAGGAGAGAACCTAAGATTGACCCATGAGGCACAAGGCCATCGCATTATCTGATTATTGTATTCTATTGTCTATTATCTTAAATAATAGATGTCTGATGTGTGCAATCTGAGTGCTCTTATTTCCTTCTTTTCTCTTCTGTAATGTGCGCAATGATGACACTGACATTTCCCCACTGTGGGACGAATAAAGGATTATCTGGAGATGGCTCTTGGGCATTGTGACAACTGCTCCAAACAGATTGCCCTGGTGGCATAAAGAGGATGGGTTAATTTGGAGAATAAATGTACCTACAGTGATGATAGAGTATTCCTTAACCCCAATAAAAATATGTATTATTTTTTTGTTTAGTTTACCCTTCTTTGGAATCAGACGAAGACGACCATGTGAATCGAGCAAAACAAAAAAGAAAAAAGAATTGGGATGATACACCTTGGAGTCCCAAAGGTACTAATACAATATAAAAAACAAAACTTTATTTTTGATTATGATCCAATCAATGCATCAATGAAACTTTTATCATTTTTAGCACGTGTGATGCCTACACTTCCAAAACAGGAACGACCAGCCAGAGAGGGTGCAAGGGTTGCTTCTGTTGAAACTGGTCTTGCAGCGGCCGCTGCAAAATTGGCACAGCAAGTACGTCTGAAATAATCTTTTGATTTCAAACAAGTTGAGTAACCTTTTTTCATATTGTCTTCCCTCTCAGGAACAGCAAAAGCCTGCAAAGAGAAAGTACACCAAAAAGCCACGTCCACCACAACCTGTGGCTTCGCCTCCTCCTGTGCAAACAGAGCCATCTGCACCGTCACCACCTCCCGTCACGGAATCCCCTGAAGACTTTAGCCCTGACAGGAGGATGGACTACTTCTCTGCTAGTCTACTTGACCATGAATATACAGCAGGACCAGGTCCCTTTGGTCCTGGAGGGCCTCGAGGCAGCGGAGCAATGGCTCCTGGCGTGTTCCTCACTTCTCGACGTCCTTCTCTTTCTCCACAAAACAGCAATTCTCATTCGGCTGCATCTCCTGCAGCTTTAGCCAGCCAGGGCGTTGCTGGAGTTGGCCAAGGTAAAAAAAAATTAATACAATTTGTAATCTTAAAGCACAATTTAAAAATGTTCTAATTTTATTTCTCAATGTCCATTCTATTTGAAGGAAAACGTCCAAAGAAGGGACTGGCAACTGCAAAACAGAGACTTGGAAAAATACTCAAAATTCATCGCAATGGCAAACTTCTCTTATGAAAAATATTTCTGTTTTTAAGATGGTTTGAGAAAATATATTTATATTTTATACTTAGAAATAGTGTTTACACTTGCATCTTGGTATGTATTTTACAGTTGTCACTAATGTTGTTGCCACTTTTAATCTATTTTTTAAGGCTTGAGTATTGTACTCTTTAATTAATTCTCCTGAACCCATAACATGATGCATATGTACTCAAAAGTGCCCCATAGTCAGACTCTCTTTTGATGTTGTGCTGTAAATAAAATACAACACCGGTCAAATATGTTTTAGTCCCGATTTTTACGAATTTGGTTGACCTAGCCTCTGAAACTCTTCATAGCAATTGGTTATTTTCAAAATCTTACTGTAATTTCAGCACAACTTTGCTACAATGCTCTATTTGAATACCATGCTTGAATGCAAGTGTGACCTATTTTTGCTTGTTTACTTTTACTCACATGACATGTCTAGTTTTTAAAGGGAATATTTTGTACAGTAAACCTGTATAGTGTATAGATCCAAATATATCACCCTGCTGTATTTTTGTTGTTATTACTGATAATACCTCAATATTCAAATCTGTCTGGATAAGATTTTGGATAGTCTGCCACACCTAACTTTTGTATAACATTTATATTGTTTCTATCCAAATAAGTAATTCTCATATTTTATGTGAAAGCAATGACATGAATGCCATGGTCTATTTATTCAAAATATTTTTTACCAATATAAATGTTATGTAAACGACGTTGTCTGTTTATTTTTAATATTGTGCCCCAAAGAATAATTGATAAAGTACAAATGTCCACAATGATTTATTATTTTTTATTAATTATTCCTCCTTGGTTGTATATATTTGTATGATCTGTGATGTAAATACTAATTTAGGGATAGAAAAATATGAGAATAGAATAGTATTTTATTTTGAAGTCCAGGCTATTGACAGCAGTTTTTGGGCTAGTCCAGGTATGTGACCTCCACCCCCCAGAATGTAAAAGTTAATGTCAATTTAATAGTGACTAATGTGAAGATTCAGGATTTGATGTAAATATTAGATGTAATTTAAGTTATTTTATAGTTCCAAACTTTTAGATATTTCGTAAAATTACTTGTACATTGAGGCTTTGCTGTATTTTGACTATCCCCTTTTTTAAACTTTGTACACATACATGGTTGTCATGTCAGTCTTATGTCTTGTACTGAAAATGCCCTTGTTAATTTTCACTTAGTTGCATTGTATTCTACTCATGTGGATATATGCTGTATGTTATAACAATGTTTTAAATACAACTTCAAAACGATGGAAGTGGTCTTTTATATTGTGGTACTAGTGCATTTTCTGTTCATCCACACAGCACTTTTTGAAAATACATAGATATAATTGGGTTGTTATTTTAGTTCACAGGTACCGCAAGAATTAGCATTATTTGAAGGTTTTAGCGCGTTGTATTGTTATTGTGATTTGTTCAACAAACAAAAACAGCATTATCATTGTTTTTCCACAACAAGGGAGTGCCCCCTTGGCAGAGGGGGAAACCATGGGATAACGCAGCAAAATTGTATTCTCGCGATAGTTCACAGTACGGTCCTACTCGCGAGTGGAAGATGGAGAAGCAAATGTAACACGCATTTTAGGTGAGTTGAACTATCCAGATTTGGTCTTTTACTTTTAGCTCATTTGTATGCTCCGTCTAAAACGTTGAAAGGGGTCTGAGTCAATCAACGGCATTCAGAAGCCGAGTTTAATAAAGGTTTCAATTTACTGGTAAATACAGATATTCTGCCGTTTAGACCGCCATTTTTAATTTAGCTATGGTCCACTGATAGAGCATTGTGCGGTTCTCGCTAGCTGTATACCGTATGCGTGTTGGCATTCTACTAAAGTAAGGTATCATACACTGGGGTACGGGTTTTTACGGGTAGACTAAAACAAATCAATTAAATTTTAGTCTGAAGTTCCCACGACATGGTTTAAAACGAATCATTTAAATCAAAAGCAATGGATTTGCTCTGTTCCTTAGCATGCAAGCTAATGACTGGCTAACGTCCTGTAGCCATTAATGTTAGCTTGCTACTTCAAACTTGGATAGGTTAATGTTGGACGACTGTCAATGTTTTGTATATCCATGCACATATAGAGAACGTGTCAACAATCCAAATATGCAGACTGATTGTTCGATTCAATACTGTTCCATCGTGGATTAAGATTATTTATGAACAATATTTGTTTATCCAGTAAATTAAGCCTAGTTTATACTCGCGCGGCGCGTTGGGTTGGTGCTAATGGCTGTAAGTAACCGCTAGTGAGATCGCTCTGCTCGATCAGCTGTCAGTGAGCAATTAATGATAATTTGGCGGTATTGTTTTTATCATAATGTTTCTGACTGTCGTATTGACACTTTCTGTTGTTGTTTTTCGTTATTCACAATGTATTTACCGATAAATTAAAGCCTTAAAGTAACGAGGTTCGTTAAATAAATCTTTAAACTGATACATATAATACAACTGACGGCTAAGTTCTGTATTTGTATGCATTTTAACTAAATATACGGCTATAATTTACATTTGTTAATTCGACTTTAGTCAGTAATTTCCCCCCCATTTTTCGCTCCCAGATCATCTGAAAAATCTGCAATGAAAGCTGAACCAAAGTAGTTACTGGTATGTATCCATGTTTGGTTTTGCTAATTCTGCATAACTATTGTCTTTTATTTAATGGCATTAATTTTATTCTTGTGAAATTGAACCGGCTTTAATGTTATCTAATTTAAAATACAAATGTTGTTATGGTGCAAATTTGAACTTGTGTTTTTTTTATGTGAATGCAGATAAAATCGTTCATGCAAATTTACAGTTAAATGAAACCGTGGCATGTGTCGGTAAACGAGTTACATATTTTATCCATTCTCACTTTTGGCACACAGCCCTGCCTTTCCTCTCCTAGCGACCCGCGGACACTTTGGGGTGACTAATAATTCTTCGGATGGATGTAACGTTTATTGTAGTCATGATGGAGTTGATGTCCTACTGTAAAACCCTGTAAACAAATCTCACGGTGTTTGGGTGGTTAGATTGTCGGCAATGATTCAGCGGGATATTGTGCGTTTTTGCTCGCAGCTAACTTTGAGCTAATGTGTAACGCTAGCTCTGAGGCAAAGCTCTTTGACAGAGTTTCCCACTGTGAGGTATTCCATACAGATGCAACATTTTAACATACTGTATTGCTTTGTTTCGTTTAATATTCACTCACTGTGCCTACAGTAGAAACGCTTGGTTAAGTTTAGCTAGGGCCTGTAAAGCCTCGACCTGGATTTCTGTTCATTACCGTGGTTGTGCTATGGCAGTGGGACCTGACAGCGGTGCAGCGTTGTCATTTGGGCTTTGAGTTTACCTTCTTGCATATCTCTTTCTATAGCTGTGCTAAATTTGGGTTCAATTATAAACTTAGATTTCATGCTAATGCCCCGACGTTTACTACCGGTAACACGGCGTTAAGTTAGCTTAACGGGCTAATGTCCGCAACAACATAGCGGTTAGCTGTGCTTTGTTTGCCTGTCTTGGTTTACGAGATCATTTGTAAAAGAAAAATCTATTTCAAGAAGTAAAAATTGACGTCGAAAACATAGTAAACTGCTGTGTCACTAGCTCCTGTTATAGGCAGTTATCACATACTTTTCTGCTTCTTAAAATGGCCATTGGTTTGACGTTGTGCTAATTTAATTTGAATGACGTGTGGACATTACAACATAATCCTACGCTGCATGATACTTGAGAAAACACACACTGAACTTTACATATCCTGATTTTAGTCATAATGTCTTGATTAGGCTGATTTTAATATGACCAAATAAATCCACTCAGATCTTGGCATCTGTAGCTAAAACAAAGATTAGTGTCACAAAAAAACGGTCAGGAGAAATGTATAAGATGTCAGGTGAACACTGATAATGCCATTATTGTATCTGTTTGTATCATTGGAATCACTGCGTAATTAAATGTACATTATTTTTCTAGGTTCTGTGAGTAAAATGCTGTTACCTGGATATTGTCCATCAGTTTTCTGTAAGTACAATCTGTAATGATTTGCGTTTTTATTTTTTTGGTTAATTCTAATTTTGAGTGGGATCATTTGTATGTATATAGAAGTGTAATTGTCAATAATTAAAATCTACAGAAGTTCCTTGACGGTGGAAGTGAAAGGCGTGACAATGAAAGTAGACAGAAGTAAGCTAAAGAAGACTCCTACAGAAGCTGTGAGTATTTCTTTATATAAAAGTATAAAATTATTATTATCTGGTGTTTTAATGTACAGTGCATCCAGAGAGTTGCATCAATTCAAATCAATTAGTCTTATTCCATAATTGATTTGATTCTAAATTTTGATCGTCAATCTACTTGCCAAACTCCATAACAACGACAAGGGAATAACCGCATCTTTTTGAAGTCGGTACCAGTTCTGCTTGGCTGATTAATGATTTATCAGCCAATCTAATATGTGAATAAGATGATTAAAAACAAAAGTATTCTTTCATCTGCCTCACAGAGCATACCGTTCTGCATACAAGTTCTTTGGATTTTTGCCCATATTTTGGAAATATATAAATGATAATATACATTTTTATCACTCCTTAAGTGGTTGGGGAAGCCATTAAGTTAAAAGTAAGTTTTCTTTTCACACAAGGGTCTGGGATTTCTCAATGATGTATTTCAGAAGGCAAGGCCTTGCAAAAAAATACTTGTATGTGATTGCATAAACCACTTGTCTGTTATTTTGAATGACGTGCTACTTAGACTCGCATCAAACCACACAACTACCATTGATTGCCAGATGCTGGCAAGATTTTACGGGAAAATACCCCCCAAAAACCAGAATTTTGTTGGCAAAAAAATTAATGATTCTGTGTATTGTCTTTAGTCTATTTATTAACTACTAGTCGCTTGGAACAGAAGTATGTGGGAAATCACCCGACCTGGCAACCCTGCGTAGCGTAGTTTGACTCTTAAAATCCACATTTAACTACATGGAACCATCAACATCTCGCCTCATATTGCATTAAAAGTGACATCTGCGTCTTAATTTGTTCATATTTAAACTTTTTATAAAATTCATGGACTTTATGTCCGCCTTCTCGGTTTGTTTCGGGTGCCGTGAGACATGCACAAGAAAGCGGTGCAAACCAACGTTACACCGGCGATCCTGATTGGTTAATTATTTTTGCTTTCTTTGAAGGAGTGTGCATTGATCACAGACCCTTGTGTTCCGCGAAACGGTGAACGGTGGTATCTGAATCAGGACAAGCACATGGATAATGCACGCTCTGCAAATAGTTAATACCTCATCATACATCTATTAAAGCCTCTGACTGCGAGAGACACTGCTGCAGTATTGGTTCTTAACCATGGGGCCGCAAGCCCTGTGGTTCTTTTCCAAACCTCTCCAACTACCTGTGTCTACAGAGGGTTGGAATGCCATGGGAACAGCAGAACCAAGTCTCAGCAAAGCAAATGCAATGTTCTCACCTGATATAGACATGCATGCTGTCCCAGTGGATGTACAATATTATAAATATTGCTTTTCATGATGCCCAGAAGATGCTTCACAACATTATTAATTCACTCCAGTCTGTGGCTGTACTGCAAGGAGAAATATAGGCAATCTATGGCCGAAGCGTGCACTGTTGCACTATGAGGACTTGTAACCAACAAATATGACTTTCGGTAATTTTCTTTGGAAGCTGCGTAGTGGTACCGATCTCACCCCACTGCGTCCTCTCCCTCTGCTCGCTCCACTACTCGTTCTTGGACCAATAGTTGATTGGTGCCAATAGATGTATAATATTCTGATCAAATTAATAATGAGGTCTTTTTTTCACAGCCGGCTGATTGTAGGATACTTATTGAAAAGCTTAAGGCATGTTGTGATGAGCAACTCCTGGTTGAACTGCAACACATCAAGACCTGGAATATTGGCAAGGTTGGTGTCAGATTACATACTGTCAATTCAGATTTTTAAAACATAAATGTGACTTTAATCTATTATAGTGTGAGTTGTACCACTGGGTAGACCTCCTGGACCGATTTGATGGCATCCTCTGTGATGCAGGCCAGACAGTGGAGAATATGTCCTGGCTGTTGGTGTGTGATCGTCCAGACAACAGTCAGCTCAAAGCTCTTCTTTTGGCAGTACTTAACTTCACTGCTCTGTTGATCGAATATAGCTTTTCTAGGCACCTTTACAGTTCCATAGAGGTTGGTTTGAACCAATTTTTAAGTAATTATTTGTTTGGCAATAATCATTAATAGTTACTTTTTTGTCGCAGCACTTAACTACCTTGTTAGCATCATGTGACATGCAGGTGGTCCTATCTGTGCTGAACCTACTGTATGTGTTCAGTAAACGTTCAAACTACATCACAAGACTAGGATCTGATAAAAGAACGCCACTATTAGCTCGTCTACAACATCTGGCAGAGGTGGGTTTTCTTTTCCATTTTGATTATAGTTCTTTGACATAAATTTTAGAACCAAAGCTCACTCATTGTTTTTCTTTTGAACATTTTCAGAGCTGGGGTGGAAAGGAGAATGGGTTTGGTCTGGCCGAATGTTGCAGGGATCTGACAATGACGGTATGGCTGTTTGTTTTTGTTATTTCTACAGTTTTCAATTATGCCAATGGACACTAGATTTGATTTACTTCACTTGGGGATCAGCTGACACCCATCTCTCACTATTTACCCCAATTTCCACATTTTGTGAAACACATCCGTAGTTTGATGTCCAAACTATTTTTGTTTGTTATTAATTTTATAATGTTTATTTATAGAAATATCCCCCCAGCGCTACCACACTACATTTTGAATTTTATGCAGAGCCAGGCCCTGAGGTCAAAATAGAGAGAAAGGTAAAGATGACCATTATGTTACATGTTTTTCACTGGATGTGTTGATGTTTTTTGGCAATACTTATTGTGATTGCATTTTTTCTATACAGCAGACAAGTAGTAATACACTACACTATATTCACATCGAGCAGCTTGACAAGGTAATATTTCTTAACCTTCTGATATTATCAAACAACGGAAAGTAACACCTTTTTGGAACATTAATTTATTTCAGATTTCTGAAAGTCCGTCTGAAATTATGGAGTCATTGACAGCAATGTATAGCATCCCTAAAGATAAACAGACCCTACTGTTCACACACATTCGACTAGCCCATGGATTTTCCAACCATAAGAAACGGCTCCAAGCAGTGCAAGCCAGATTACATGCCATTTCTATACTAGGTAAGAAAAAATATTGTTTTGCAAAAACTATGATTCACATTTATTATGGTTTTAATTTCTTTGTAGTGTACTCAAACGCACTCCAAGAGTCCGCTAACAGTATTCTGTATAATGGCCTGATTGAAGAGCTGGTTGATGTACTCCAAATTACAGACAAACAGCTTGTGGTAAGTTTAAATCTAGCTTCAAAACTCTTTTGGCCTGCAACACCCAACAAGATTAAGGAACCTTTTTGATATTTTATTTGTTTTGTTTTATTAATCATGAGCAGTGACTGCTCACATAAATGTTATCTGGCTGAAGACAGATTTATGTAGATGTTGATGGACAAAACAATGGCGCATGGAAAGAGAAAGCATTTGAAGAAACTGGTTCGATGCTACATTAGACATTTCCACACTGACATCTTTTAATCATTTAGTACTTCAACAATTTCAGCTGTGTATTTCTCTACATTCAAATCTTAATTTTCACCTTCTAATATGTTTTTTCATCCAAATACATATTAAAATATTTGTTGACAGCCCTAGTTACATGTGCTTGGATTTTACTTTGGACAAAGTGGTTGTACAGGCAGTACAGTAACCATTTGTTACACTACAATGCTACAGTACAATCTGTTTATTCTTTTGAAGGATATCAAGGCCGCATCTTTGCGAACTTTAACATCCATTGTTCATCTGGAGAGGACTCCTAAGCTTTCAAATATCATTGACTGTACTGGCACTGCTTCATACCATGGTTTTTTGCCTGTGCTGGTGCGCAACTGTATACAGGCAATGATTGGTGAGAAATATCTGACTTGTTTTTACTGTGATGAAACCTAGAACTATAAATCCATTTTTAATTTGTAGATCCTCAAATGGAACCATACCCACACCAGTTTGCAACTGCACTCTTCTCCTTCCTGTATCACTTGGCTAGTTATGACGCTGGAGGGGAGGCACTTGTTTCTTGTGGTATGATGGAAGCTCTTCTGAAAGTAAGTGGTCCAAAAAAATAAATGTAATTGAATTTTAAACCAATACAATTTAATGTAATTCTAAGGTCATAAAGTTCCTTGGGGACGAGCAGGATCAGATCACCTTTGTAACGCGAGCTGTGCGGGTAGTTGACCTTATTACCAACTTGGACATGGCTGCCTTTCAGTCCCACAGCGGCCTTACCATTTTCATTTGCAGGCTAGAGGTAAGTTTTGGATTTTTAACATTTTAAATTTCAGCTGTCTCATTTTATTTTACATATTTCATATTTTTAAATGCAGCATGAGGTAGACCTATCACGAAAAGAGTGCCCTTTTGTCATCAAGCCAAAGATTCATAGGCCCAATTCTGCAGTGGATGCAGAAGACATGGACACTGACATGGAAAGTTAGTGGCCAATTTTATATATATATTATACACACATACAGTTACAGTTATTATTAATGTATTTATTTATTGAGTTAATATTTATTCAGTGTCAGAAGTTGCCATGGAAAGCAGTCCTGGGCCATCCACAACATCTGGATCAAGACCTGACATGGACCATCGTGTACAGAACAACGTTGTGAACACACGTGCAGGTATATCCCCCATGATATACCTTAAATACAGCTATTTATTAATTTGACAACTTTCCCTTGAAGGTATGCAGTGTATACCGCAGCGTGCTGCGCTATTAAAATCAATGCTAAACTTTTTAAAGAAAGCCATCCAGGACTCTACTTTCACTGATGGTATTCGCCACAGTAAGTGACCTTTTTTCTGTGCTCATAATTGTGTCAAATTCATTTCTAAATTGCATATTTATCTGTTTCTCCAGTAATGGATGGGTCATTGCCTACCTCACTCAAGCACATCATCAGTAATGCAGAATACTATGGTCCATCTCTCTTTCTATTGGGTATGTTTGTGGAAATTGAGGATAACCTTTTTTTTATTTCCAGTATTACAGAATACAAGACTCATTCATTAACACTTTTATACTTTTAGCAACGGAGGTGGTAACAGTGTTTGTGTTCCAAGAGCCATCTCTACTTTCCTCTTTACAAGACAATGGCCTCACAGATGTTATGCTACATGCACTTCTCATCAAAGATGTAAGTTTATTTTTGCACCCAAAAAAAGAAAAGGCAAACAAAAAAACTAATTATTTCAGTGTCAATATTTACAAGTAATTTGAAAATCATGGCATTTTCGAAAGAGAAACTGTCAACTGTTTTTATGTCAACAATCTAAAGGAATTGACTAACATTAAGGTTTTAATTTCCTTCCAGGTACCAGCAACTCGTGAAGTTTTAGGGTCTCTTCCCAATGTATTCAGCGCTCTGTGCCTGAATGCAAGAGGATTGCACTCTTTTGTTCAGTGTCAGCCATTTGAAAGGCTCTTCAAAGTGCTCTTGTCCCCTGACTACCTGCCTGCCATGCGCCGGCGACGTAGCTCGGACCCTCTAGGTGAGTTGTGTGTAGGTTAATTGTACTTGGTGATCAGTGTCTGCAGGTCTAAGTGTAGCCTTGGGGTATAGGGCAGAAGTTATTTCAGTAATTGTTAAATTATAGAATTGTAAAAAAAATCCTATACAACTTTGGTATTGTGAGTAGATTGACAAGAAAAGTACAAATTTGTTTGTGGGATGTCAAGGAGACAAACCGATGCCTGCACCTCAACTGGATGCTCTCGATCTTGGGTAGCAGCTCTACTCCAAGCTCATCTCTTGAGACTGATCTCCTCTTAGAGAGTGCACAGCCACTCTGGGGAAAAACTCTTTCGCCCGCTTGTATTCACAAACTTATCCTTCAGGAAAGGGTGGAAACGTAGATTGAACGGTAAATCAAGAGCCTTGCCTTTTGATTATGCTCTCTTCACCACAACAGTTCAATACGATAACTGCATCAGATTGGTGCGTATTGCACCAAATTTCAAGGAGGCACAGTGTCTCCTTATTGCTCCAGGTCTGCCCATGGCTTGTTGTTGTGTAGCATGTGTTAGCAGCTGTGACGCGTGGCCATGGATCTATAATAATAACTGGATAGGGTATTACTAGCTTATAGCTGTCCCACCCATGGTCACAGGGGGCGCCCGTGGTACTGCAGACTAAATTCACGAGAGCTACCCAGAAAAAAGTCCCATAGAACTCAATGCAAATTAAAACAGCTCGACCTCAGCTGACAGAGAGCCTACAGCGTTCATAAAGATCAGATTTTGTGGGGATTTTAGTGTCCCTTGTCATCCTGAACTTTTTTTCTTCTATAATCCTTCGGTTTTCTTTAAATCCCCACTTTACTGCGACAAACTCTGCTCCCGGCCTTCCCGCTCTGGCTCCGCTCTTCCGCTGCTCTGATGATAAGCTCTGATTGGTCAGAGCGCGGCCGAACCCCTCTGTGCGCGTGCATGAAAGCCACACACGCACCTTTGGCGCGACGCATGATGGGAGATATCTAATGCGCTAATAATTGTAGCAGTCAAGCCCCGCTCAAGACTTTCACCAACCTGCTGTTGTTGTGTCCTTGGCAAGACACTTAACCTCTGGGAACACCAGCCACAGTGGCTGCGGCTGTAAAGTGCCAAACTGCCAGTGTGTAGGCAAGACACTTCACCCCCATTGCCTGGAATGAGTCTGGTGTGTGTATGAATGGTTGGTGGTGGTCGGAGGGGCAGATGGCGCATACTGGTTGCCTCGCTTCTACAGTAGTAGTTTATCACCACCGTGTATGGAGTGAATGAATAATTACACATGGTGAAGCGTCTTTGAGTGTCCAAAAAAGCGCTATATATGCATTATTATTATTATTGTTATTAATCCACTGCGCAGAAAGACCAGACGATGCCCAAATATAGGAGAGTTAGGCTAATCTCCTGGTCTCATGAAGTCCCGTGCGCTACTGAGCACCAGCCATTCATTTGAATTCATCTTGGATCACCGGGGCTTGCCCGTGGCTAATTCCTCACAGTTCCTGTCTGCGGTGGCTTGTTAAGGCCAAAAAAGTTGTGACCGGTGTGATCGACACCGGTTGGAAGCAGACAGAGATCACCTAAAGTGGTTCTCGGTCCGGTTCATTGGTCCGGACCAGGATTCGTTTGTGTGTATTCACACCTGCATAAAAGGTCCGGATCAGAGTTCCAAACAAAACCTGGTCCGTTTAATGTGGACCAAAAGTGCAGGTCTGAATACACCATTAGATTATTAAAAGGAATCCTAAAAATGTTTTTTCACAATAACTATACAAAAAAGTTGAATGACCTTTGTAGCTGTTCAGGACATCCTTACTAAACAGGCCGAATCAAAGGGAAAATGTACTGACTTTTTTTGTAGGTTTAGGGCCTTTCAAAATCCTTTCAGTATTCACTTTTAATTTCTTTTGCTTTTAGGTGACACTGCATCTAACCTGGGAAGTGCTGTTGATGAGCTTATGAGGCACCAGCCCACACTGAAGACTGATGCTACTACCGCCATAATTAAGGTAGTAGTAATTATTTATCATAACAAATAATTTTGTATCATAATTTTAGAAATGTATTATCTATTTGAAAATGTTCAACATTTATTTTACAGTTACTAGAGGAGATATGTAACTTAGGTCGGGCCCCAGAGTACATCTGCCAAAAACCTTCCATTCAGAAAGCAGATGGAACTGTGGCTGTACCTCCTGCCCGGTCCAGTCATGCAGCTGAAGAAGCATCCAGTGAAGATGAGGAAGAGGAGGAGGCACTTCACACCTTTAGCCAACAACAGGGGGAGCCAGAGAGCAACAGACAGTCAGTGCCACTTGAACTGTATGACAAAATAGATAAAACATCAACCTAGTCAGGCTTTCCTCAGCCACCTTTATTGTACGTTTAATTTTAAACACATTTTATATCTGCTGTTGTTTATTTTAGGATCGTGGGAACCGAGGAACGAATTCCTATTCCTCTTATGGATTACATCTTAAATGTGGTATGTAGATTGTACTATTATACTATACGACTATTCATTTATTATCCATGATTGCTCAGTTGTTTTATGCTTTTTCAGATGAAGTTTGTTGAATCAATTCTGAGCAACAATACAACTGATGACCACTGCCAGGAGTTTGTTAACCAGAAGGGATTGCTACCCCTGGTATCAATTCTTGGTTTACCTAACCTACCCATAGACTTTCCCACATCAGCTGCCTGTCAAGCAGTTGCTGGTGTCTGCAAGTCAATTCTGGTGAGGAAAATTTTGTGATTTTGGTTTTGACAATGATTTTAAATAAACACACTTCTACTTCTATTAGACTCTTTCTCATGAACCTAAGGTTCTGCAAGAGGGCTTGTGCCAACTGGATAGTATTTTGACATCCTTGGAGCCCTTACATCGACCAATTGAGGTGCCTGGAGGATCTGTGCTTCTCAGGGAGCTTGCTAATGCTGGCCATGTTACAGATGCAACTCTGTCAGCTCGTGCAACTCCACTTTTACATGCCCTGACTGCTGCACATGCATACATCCTTATGTTCGTCCATACTTGCAGAGTTGGACAGGTAACTATTTGATGGGTGAATTGATCCATATACAGTTGAGATAAAATGTATATATTTTTAATTTTAAAATTTTCTTATGTTTCCTGTACTTTATCAATATGTAGAGTGAAATCCGAGCCATTTCTGTCAACCAGTGGGGCTCCCAGTTGGGCCTGAGTGTTCTCAACAAGCTCAGTCAGCTCTATTGCTCTCTTGTATGGGAAAGCACCGTTCTGCTGTCACTGTGCACACCCAACAGGTGACTCTTCAGCTGTAAGTGATATTTTGCATAGTATTAAATGTTAACCCTTTTTATGTGCTTAGTCTGCCTCCAGGTTGTGAGTTTGGCCAGGCTGACATGCAGAAACTTGTTCCCAAAGAGGAGAAACCATCTTCCACTACTACCACAGCAATGGCCTCTGCCTCTAAAAGAAATGGTAATTATATCTTGGAATTAAAGAATAGGAAAGCGATCTACAGCATTACAGTAGATCATCAGTTTTATTTTAGAAATAGAATAAAACTTCTCCCCGAAGTCTTCTTTCACTTCTACACACATGGATGTTTATTCCTTTTCTACTGACAATGTAACTTCAACTGCGCCAAAAAATCACCATGTAAGAAAACAGAACATCCGAGCTCACGCTGGTGATTAAAGTATTCTGGCGATTGTTTTTTTTTTATCTTTGAGGCTTGTCCCCTGAATAAGTTTAATTGAAACTTGTGGACATAGTAGTTGGTAGCACACTCTCGCTTCTCAGCAAGAAGGTCCTGGGTTCGAATCCCGGTCGGAACAGGGCCTTTCTGAGTAGAGTTTGCATGTTCGCCCCATGTCTGCGTAGGTTTCCTCCGGGTGCTCCGGTTTCCCCTACCACTAAATACATGCACAATAGGTATGAATGTAAATGAGATGGTGAATGTAGCAAATTCTGCCTCGTTCTCATTGCTGTCGGTGTGAAGAAAGTTAGGTGTTTTTCACGTGTGAGTCTGTTGTGTATAAACTACACAATGTGCCTCCTGTTGTTTTAACTCTGCCTTTCGGTGTGTGTTGCTGTTATTTATTTTGTATTTAACCCGGGAAGTCCCGTTCAGATTAAGAACTTCTTTTTCAGTCAATGACGTTGGTTTCTAGATGTTTGCTTTTTTTTTCTAAAACATTCTTGTTTGGGGCGTTCTTTTACATTACATTACTTTTACATTGCACAGTGAAAGCAATATTATTAATATCACCTGTGAAACAAAAACGTGATTCTCGTATCCTTTTTGTCCCTTATCAATCAATGTATTTGATCATGGCGCATTGTCCTAAAAAAACAGTTTACCTTTTCAAGTGTAATCTATTACAAATAAAAACAAATCTGAAGCTTATTTTACAAATATTTCCCTGTATCAGCAATCTTATTACTAATGTACTTAACTTCAAAAGTAACACATTTCTTCTATTTAAAACAAAATAAGTAAAAGGGCGGCATGCTTCACTCCAACACCGTAATGTTTCTAATCTACTGGATAGAAGCTGAAGCTCTTTCTGTGGACACTTCTGCTGGAGGATTGCTGGAAGGAATGGGCCTTGACGGAGATGCAATGGCTCCAATGGAAACTGATGAACCCACTACATCAGATCCTAAGACCAAATCCAAACTTTCCCCAGCCATGGCTACACGCATCAAACAGATAAAGCCTCTTCTGTCAGGTAAAAAAAAACCTTGTTATTTGCTTTGATTTACGTATTTATTTTATTTGCTTAGACTTTTTCCAACATAAGTCACTTAGGAAAATCTGTTTTATCAACCTGCCTTTTTGTGTCTTCTAGCTTCATCTCGACTCGGAAGAGCTTTGGCTGAGCTGTTTGGTTTGCTTGTGAAACTGTGTGTGGGTTCTCCAGTGCGACAACGGCGTTCACATCATGCCAACAGCACAGGCACAACCCCAACCCCTGCAGCACGAGCCACTGCTTCTGCCCTCACAAAACTACTTACCAAGGGTCTTAGCTGGCAGCCTCCTCCATACACGCCAACACCTCGATTCCGGTCAATACAATGCCCCTGAAATAAAGATAGTATTTATTGAAAAAATACATTTGTTCAAAGTTGTCCTCTCTCTGCAGGTTGACCTTTTTTATTTGCTCTGTGGGATTCACTTCTCCAATGTTGTTTGACGAAAGGAAGTACCCTTATCACCTCATGTTACAAAAGTTTTTCTGTTCCGGTGGACACGATGCTTTGTTTGAGTAAGCATTTTTATAAGTCTGATTTTGGGCAAATAACACTATATATATAGTTTCACATTGTTATTCTTTGTCCATGCAGAACCTTTAACTGGGCCTTGACAATGGGTGGTAAGGTGCCTGTGTCTGAGGGTCTGGAGCATCTAGAATTACCAGACGGGACCGGAGAATTTTTGGACGCATGGTTAATGCTGGTAGAGAAGATGGTGAACCCCAGCACAGTTCTGGATTCTCCTCACTCACTGCCAGCTAAAATGCCTGGAGTCACACCCACTATGCCTCAGTTTAGTGCTCTTAGATTTCTCATAGTCACCCAAAAGGTGAGTGTTTCACGGTTTTCTTAAAGTCATATGTAAAATAAATAATTAATTGTAGCCTTTTGAATATATTGGGAAACAATTCTGAATTGTATAAAAATAATAATAATAATATTTCCAGGCTGCATTCAACTGTATCCGTAGTCTGTGGAACAGGAAGCCACTTAAAGTGTACGGAGGTCGGATGGCAGAGTCAATGTTGGCTATACTCTGTCACATCCTGAGAGGGGAGCCGGTAATCCAGGAACGGCTTACTAAGGAGCGGGAGGGTACAGTTCGCCCTGAGGAGGAGGTTGCCTCCACAGGCTCTTCGGCTGGCAGTGCTGCCCCTGGATCAAGCACAACAAGTGGAGAGGGCTCAGCACCAACAGGTTCCTCTACAGGAGCACCACCTGCAGGAACAGCAGAGGATGCCACCAGCTCGGTTTCCCGCCGTGAGCCTCAGGTCAACCAGTCCCAGCTTACACAGGTACTCAGACTTAAACATAGCACCATTTCATCATTTTATTCTATCAAGTTAAAGTACCAAATCAAGCTTAGTGGTGTTTACCAAAAACCTCACTGTCATTTTGCTTAGCACAGGCACAACCCCAACTCGTATATCAGGCTTTTGAGCCATGAGCCCAAACTGCTTTTCCTTCAGTCCCCTTCGAAGAGCCGAAGCTATCTGCTCCAGTGCCTCGCCCATGTTTTACCGCATCCAAAACGTCATCACACACTGGCCATTCACAGTGGACCTTCTGTGCGGTGCCTGCTGCGTAGTTAGAAATATCCAAGGGTGCAAGGGGTCCTTTTGGGTGATCCTTACGTTGGCCATATGACATCGGGTGACGCCATGAGGGCCACTACAAGCACAGCAACCACAGAGGTTGTGAATATTAACGGACGTAGTCATGCCTATCTCCGCTGTTCAAACTAATGTGCCACCACTTTCGCCGTCTCTGAGCAGTTTCAAAATGGCTGCGAGGCTGGAAAATTTGAAAATTGTGAAGCAATTGGACATGCCTAAAGTGGACAGCATTGACACACTTGTGGAACTTAGCGTTGGGCCAAGAGCCGAGTTTTCGACCGGCCTGTAAAGCCATTTATGAGAGGTAAGAAGATGCAATACATTTGCATTGGCTAATTCCGGGTACACCCCCATTGGCCTGGGGTGGTATTGACCAGATGCATCGACGTCATCCAATCACGTGATTGTGCTTGAGGTTACGGCGGAAGTAGTGGAAGCTAGCATTGCGGTGAGAGCAAAACAACTCTTAAAAACTGAGACTCCTCTCCTAAATTGAAGTGGCTGCTTCAAGCACATCTTCGATGACGGTATCGGTGGAAGTAGGACATCTTGTCAGAGCTCACAAAGAGCTGTATTTGGAGAAGTTAAGGATCGCCGAATTGTACTTTCTCCCCCCAGTCAATTTGATTGATTAAATTAAATTTCCAACTTTGCCCGAATTTACCCTGCATGATCTTTACCAATTTGTCGTTAACAATGCATCCCCTTGCTCTGGAGCAGATTTAAATGTACATTTACCTGGTAGAATTAGCGCATTAGCAATAGTCCACTTCTCTGTGGCTTTTCTGTCTCCAGCCATACTGTACATGATACATATTGACGGAGAGGAAAATAGTGAAAAACGCAACTGGCATCTATGAATTTCAATAGCAGAGAATGAGTTCAAACATCTCGCCTCAAATTGCACGAAAAGTGACATTTGTGTCTTAACCCTTTAAGCGCCAAAGTCGCAATATTGCAACAAGCAACATTGCTCACTTAAACAGGCTGTATGTAAAAATTTGCAGAATCTTGTTAATACTTTTCACCAGGGGTTAATGGACATGTGTGCCTGTAATATGAGCAGCATTTGTGGGTGTGGTTATATTGAAAGTTTTTGAGTAAATTGAGTTCGTAAAACACCTGCGGCGCAGCAGCGCGGAGGCGAAGCAGCCGCGGTAGAGCTGAGAGGAGCGAGAGCAGAGAAGAGGGAGAGAGTGTTTTTTATTTTACTCACGAGGTCTTCAGTACCAGAGAAGTACTTGGTCTGGTACTGGCTCACTCAGATTCAGAGGAGGAAGACACGCAGGTGTCCAGTGAAGCAGACACGGACATTATTGGTGACGGGGAGACCGTGCTATATAGTCCACAATCAGCCCCTGTACAGCGGCTGCTTGTCCTCCGTGTGGCCGTGGTAGAAGCATTCTGTGAACGCCAAGCAAGGGGCCATGGTCGAGGGGATAGGGGCATCGTAACACCGGGCATGTGGGAGAAAGTAGCGGGGGTAAACATCCACGGGAGACGCGGGAGAAGTCGCGGGGGAGCCACGGGGAAAAACACATCGCTAATCGCGTTCACTGCCTTTACCAACGGCAATGATGAGGATCAAGGCAGTTCTTGAGAGAAAATAATCCACAAAAGTGGATCAGAAGTGTTGAAGAGCCTGTTGTTTCTTGTTGAGACGATCTGACATGTTCTGTGCCCATTAATTTCATCTCTCCGTTTCTAAACGATAAATCCTGGAGCCTCATTTCCACTGAGAAAAATAGTAAGCCCACCACTTCTTTGAAAGGGAAATATTGAAACCAATCTCCAGATTTCATGACAGTAAACTATAAAAAGTGCTCTCTTGATCACTGAAGGTCTTTGAAAATAATACAATTCCATATGGCCGCGAACCAGTGCTAAAACGGTCCGTGTACGTCGCGGCCATTCTATTTTTGATTAGGAAAGAAAATACAAAAAACGAATATTGGCCGTTTCCCGTTTTCCGTTTTCAAAATAAAATGTAGAAAACGAGAATTTAATCCGTTTTTCGATTTTGTGTTTTAAAATTAAAAAACGGATAACGAAAAACAGGTCATAATCCGTTTTTCCATTACACATTTACACAAGAAACACCAACATCGAAAAACCACGGCAAAAATTTGATTTTCCATTCTTGATCTTATTTTGAAGCTGACCCGGAATCTGTTAACCATGCCTACCACTATGCCACTAAGCGGCCGAAGTCACTCTACTTTGTGAGAAGACGTCAGCTGTTACAGTGGCTAACTAATTTGTCTTTTTTTCTACTTTAATAAGTTTTCAAATGGCCTTAAATAGTTTCGCCGACTTTATTATAGAGAGAAGGATGAGTGGTATGGCTTGTGGTGAGATCGCCAACGCGCTAACTGCACAGTTTGGTCCAACTGTGGGTTTCTCAGCGCGAAATGTGAGAAGATGGTTAGCCACTGTAACAGCTGACGTCTTCTCACAAAGTAGAGTGACTTCGGCCGCTTAGTGGCATAGTGGTAGGCATGATTAACAGATTCCGGGTCAGCTTCAAAATAAGATCAAGAATGGAAAATCAAATTTTTGCCGTGGTTTTTCGATTTTGGTGTTTCTTGTGTAAATGTGTAATGGAAAAACGGATTATGACCTGTTTTTCGTTATCCGTTTTTTAATTTTAAAACACAAAATCGAAAAACGGATTAAATTCTCGTTTTCTACATTTTATTTTGAAAACGGAAAACGGGAAACGGCCAATATTCGTTTTTTGTATTTTCTTTCCTAATCAAAAATAGAATGGCCGCGACGTACACGGACCTAAAACATTATCTATAATCTGGATCAGGGAATTTATTTCTATCCCAAAATCATTTCATACTAAAGATATTTCACATAGACTGTTTATAGTATTCCCTGATCTAAAAAAACTCCCAAGCTACAGCTTTTTGAAATCTTTATACAATAATTAACATTTTCCAAGATGGCCGCCACCTTGATGACGTCACAATATGCAAATTAGATGACGAATCAACTTCCATCCCAAAGTTTCGTTCAAACTGAAGATATTTCTAATTTACAGTATGCCTTTATCTCAAACCATGTTAAAGTTATATGAAATCTTGAAATCAAAATTGTATATTTTCTTGAAAAAACTCTGGCGCCTAAAGGGTTAATTCAGTCGTATTTTAACTTTTAAAGCAATTCACGGACTTAATGTCCGCCATCTTGGCTTGCTTCGGCTGCCGTGAGAGGCGCAGGTTTGCATTACATCATTAACAGCTGAGGCGGCACAACTCGACAGAACACCGGGACCCGCCCGCACTGGCAGCAACGAGCGAGTATACATAGGCCAGGGATTAAAGAGTTCCGTCTAGGTGACGGATTTCCGTCAAATGAAATTGGTCTGGAAAAAAAATATATATATATATAATGATAATAATACACACAATTAAATTATTGATTATAAAAATGATATATAGTAATACATATACGTGTGAATCTGTTATATATATATATATATCGATGTATAATAATAATTTGAATATAATTGTATTTGTATGTATATAGAAATAATAAGTAATATAATCACGAGTGGGCCTTGAACGTGCCGTGGCCACATGAGCGCTCCGCAAATGAATCAAGGCAATGGGACGTAGCTGAGCTCACGCGCAAATGAAGACGCGATGAAGTTAGCATTGGTAACACGGAGGTGAAAGTTTCTGGAAACTGCACCGAGCTTTTGAAAAGGAGAAGAGGAGGAAAATTGAATCTCGAACGGAGCAATAACAGCAGCAGATCCGCGGACTGGTAAGCTGGGTGCGTAATAGACGAAAGGTAATTAACGTTTACCAAACGCAATGCTATTTTACTTAACGGAATGTACAAAACGGACTTTGCTGCAACTGGGAATGGGGACAAACATGTCTTGGTGAGCTTTTGATATTGTCTTGTTTGCGATCTTCTTGCAAAACTCAGCGTGATGTAAAAGAGCCAATCAATGAGTCATGGTGCGAAAAGATGAAAGTGGCCGGTGCTTGTGCGTACTTTGCCATAAAAAATTGCATGTATGGGAGTAATGAGAAAAAAGTTTTGATTCGCCACCAGCTCAAAACTGCGCACAAGGCAGCTGTTTGTGCACTTTCCCACACTTCATCTTTACCTGGTGCATCAGCAACAACTAACACTAGGCTTGCTATGGCAGACCGTGTCTGTGGCTTTATCGCAGAAAATAACGTTCAGAATATCACTACCGCTGGTAGATTTATTTCAATCATTTGCAGTTGATTGAAGCGCACTGTGCACTCAAACTTGATAGGGAAACCTTTTTCTTAAATATTGACGTGTCCACAAACAAATGTGGACAGAATTTTATCGTCCTTTTGCAATATTTTGACGAGGACAGAGCCAAAGTGTTGACGCTCCATATCGCCTCAAGTAAAGCTACTCTCACTAATATTCTGTCAAAAAGTTTACTCGTTGCTTGATCCACTTAAATTTCATATCAAAATACACTGTATATCTTTGAATAATTCATTTCAGCTGTATTCAATATACAATCTATTATACAATAATATATTGTAATTACAAATATAACTTGGTCCTGCATATTACTGTGATTTACATGTGATAAATTTCCATGCGAAAATTTTCAGTCAAATCTTTTTTTTTTTTTTGCTTTAACCCCTGACATAGGCCTTTGACCAAGACACCCACAGAGCGCTGCTGCCACCTGCTGACACATTAGAACGCTGCCTACAGACAAACCCCAGACATTTGATACAGGGGACACCAACGTATTATTCTGTCATGGCAGTCAATGGTTTAAAAATTAGTATAGACAAGAAATGGAAGGAGAACAAAATGTTTGATAAATTACTCCGGTTTGAGTTTGTGTTGGATACTTTTATGTTTTATTCATGTAGCCTAAATGTTTTACTTTTTAAAACATTTGTTTATTTTGGTACGATCTTTTCTGTGTTCTAGCTTGTGGATATGGGTTTCTCAAGAGAACATGGCATGGAGGCTCTGTTGAACACCAGCACTATGGAACAGGCTACAGAATATTTACTGACTCATCCACCTCCTCTTCTTAGTGGCGCAGTTAGGGTACAGACCTATTTATAATTACAGGAATGGCTTCGCTAAAGTATGTGGCTTATATGCATTTTTAATTATATTTTAGGACCTTACGATGTCTGAAGAGGACCAGATGATGAGGGCCATTGCCATGTCACTTGGTCAAGAGGTCAGCATGGAGCAACGCTCCGATTCTCCTGAGGTGTGACCTCATATCTTTGGCAGCTTTGTTACAAGTAACTGTGCTTATTATAATTCCTCATTTTTAATAGGAAGCAGCACGGCGCCGTGAAGAAGAGGATCGAAGAGCCAGGGAGCGTGCGGAGGAAGAAGAAGCTCGTTGTTTGGAACGCTTTATGGAAGCTGAGCCCCTGGACCCACAGGAACTACACACATTCACTGACGCCATGCTACCAGGCTGTTTCCACCTTCTAGATGAACTCCCAGATACTGTCTACAGACTCTGTGATCTTCTCATGACTGCGATTAAGAGGAATGGCCCAGAGTTTAGAGATCTTTTTCTTGGTCAAGTTGTTCGCCAGGTAACCCATTAATTTCACTTGTCAGTACTTGTGCTGGTTTTTAGGTCCTTCTTATAGCTAACCCTGAGTTATTGCTTGCGTGGCATAATACAAAGCTGTTATGACTTCAATTGGCTGTCTTACAGCTGATTTATGTGCTGTCACATTTGTCTAAATGTCAGTTATTGGTGTGATTATCCCCCAAAAAAGATAATTGTGAGACGGTGCATGCACCAAACTTGACTCTTGAGGTTTCCTGCACACACTTGAAGTTGCGGGGCCACTTCCTCTGTTGCAATGTGTAAACAAACTCACGCTGGCGAAAGATTAGCTGTGGCTACATTAGTAGTTTATGGAATGAAGTATGCCATAAAGAGAAGTGCTGTATACATTCAATGTACTTTTAATTGGCTGTATCTCGTGTGGTTTTTAACCCTCCGGCCACTTTTTCTCCTATCCCCCACCCTGGTATGCCGTGACATCTATGTTCCAACACAGCAATTTCTGGAGGCATTGTAATGGCATGTTCTTGTCATTAAATCTCCAATACGATACTAATATTTATTAGTGCGCAGAAACTGAAATAAATACAATAAATTCAACACTTTCCTCTGGTGTTAAAAGTGGAAACTTGCATGTTGAGACAATTTTCTAATTATTTTTGAGCGTCTTATTATACAAGTAGATATTCTGTGTCATGGTAAATGCCCAATTATAAAGCAAATTTATTGGTGTTTTAGGGAATAAATTGGTCTTAAAATAACTGATATCCTAATATTCACTTTATTTTCATCCATACTCATTAGGTTTGGGATGCTGCTGATGTTCTGATCAAGGCTGCGGTGCCTCTCACCACCAGTGACACAAAGACTGTGTCGGAGTGGACCAGGCAGATGGCTACACTGCCACAGGCCTCTAAATTGGCTACACGTATTTTGCTGCTGACTTTGCTTTTTGAGGCAAGTTATTTTAACCATCTTCATTTTCAGGTATAAGTTGCTAACTCGTGTTTTTTTTTATTTATTTTTAAAGGAACTGAAACTATTGTGTGCCAGAGTGGTAGAAAACAGTGGAGTTCTTGATCTACTCATCAAACTTCTAGAAGTGGTACAGCCATGTCTGCAGGCAGCCAAAGAACAAAAAGACATTCAAACGCCAAAGTGAGTGCTGCTTTAAATGACCGTTGTATCTGCATAATGTCTTTCATGTGCCTTATTATAGTGGTATAGTTTTGTGTTGGTATTAAAGCTTCAGTTTTTTGGATTACAGGTGGATTACGCCAGTCTTGTTGCTTATAGATTTCTATGAGAAAATGGCTGTCTCTTCTAAACGCAGAGCAGAAATGAACAAGGTATTATTTCCAAACAGTTTCCTTATCATATAAACTATATATATAGTATATTTATCATACTAAATATATCACTTAATGACCATATACATGTGTTCTATGGATATGATTATTTGAACATGAGAACTGTCTTTCAGTACCTACAGCCTAATGGCAACAACTGGCGGTGGTTTGATGATCGTTCAGGCCGTTGGTGCAGTTATAGTGCATCTAATAACAGCACCATAGATTCTGCTTGGCGTACAGGGGATACAAGTGTCCGTTTCACAGCCGGGAGACGCAGATACACTGTACAGTTCAATACCATGGTGCAGGTACTGTGTATATTTCTCATTAACCTATTGATATTTCCAATCATTACTTTGGCATAAAGTCATGCTACTTCACTCAGATGCAGCATAGTTATACTTCATCTGGAGTATGGAGATTAAAGGTCCCATAAATTTGCTCTTCATGTTTCACATTCCATCCTAAGTGTGATAATAATATGGGTGATACACTGTACAACTCTCAAATTTGTCAAATTGTAAGATGAAAGAACGTGATTGTCAGGCTCGTTCATGGGCGTTTTGATTTCTCCTTCTGTCAATAACCTCTTTGAGGCAGGCTCTCTAGCTCGATATGTCACAAATTGGTGCCACGTCACATATTGAGCTGAGGCGTTATGAGAATGAAAGGGGTTACTCTAACTAAATCTTGAAGGAATCAATGAAAAAAAGTCTGGGACCTTTAACTACTCTAGACATCTGTTCTACATATAACTGGCTATCGCCAGCTAAGGTCTTCTCTGTGTAAACAGCAGCAGTGTTTACAGCCTCAGTAAATGTGATTTTCTGCTTGTCATCTTGCAACTTCCAAATAGATAGACACTTTATTGATCCCCGTAGGAGAAATTCAGGTGTCCAGTAGCAGCAAAAATAAAATTGATAATTCTAAAAAGCTAACAGCAGCAATAATCAGCAACAGCCCTTCAGGTCAAAGCAGAAGAGGTGGAGTGGGCTCTGGGTCGAGCAGGACGAGTCATAGTAGCACAGATGGAGTAGCCTCGGGGTGGAGCAGGACGGGTCACAGCAGCAGAGGTGGACTAGGCTCTGGGTGGTGCAGGATTGGTCACAGCAGTAGAGGTGGAGTAGCCTCTGGGTGGAGCAGGACGGGTCACAAGGTGGAGTAGCCGCTTGGTTCGGACCCTTTTCTCTGCTCTAGTCCAAATTAAAATGCTGAATGCTTCATTAGCATTTTTCAAAAAGTTAGCATTCCTCCAATGGATTTTCACCTGATCTGCTTGGTTCAGACCAGGAATCCTCTTCGGCCTGGACCAGTGTAAAACAATGAACACTGTAGTGCAGCAAATCTCAGGTAGAAAAAAAGCAATAAAAATTAAAATTCTAAAGCACAAAATAACAACTGCTTCAGAGCTACTTAGGACTTGCAGCCATTTTCCAGCGCATTCAAATCTTGTAGTTCTGGATACCAGGTTTAATTTAGTTTTCTGATTCATCTTGCCCCTTCAATTTCATTTACAGGTGAATGAAGAGACTGGCAACAGGAGACCTGTGATGTTGACTGTCATGAAGCTTCCCAGGCTTGCTAAGACTACAAAAGCAAATAGCATGACTGATTCTGAGAAAGAGGAGGGAGAGAAGAGCAAACCTGAAGAAACATTGACTGAGACGGACTCTTCTGTTGCACCTGTAGAGATGGCTGCTCCTAAATTGGATGCAAATCAAATGAAAGACGCTCCCTCAGCACCTGTTTCACAAGAGCCTGAATCGACTCAAAGCTCTGATATTGTTGTCCAGGGCCTGAGCGAGGACATGACTACCATCCTTATTCGGGCTTGTGTCAGTATGATAAGCGTCCCTGTGGACCCGGACACTCTACATGCCACACTGAGGCTCTGTCTGCGTCTTACTCGCAATCACCAGTATGCCATGATGTTTGCTGAATTAAAGAGCACCCGAATGATTTTAGGCCTCACTCAGAGTTCTGGTTTCAACGGCTTCACTCCACTAGTAACACTTCTCTTCAGACACATCATAGAAGATCCAGCTACACTCCGGCACACCATGGAGAAGGTAGGACCTAGCTAAAGTTTGTGTTTAGGGCTGAAATTATTAATAGAAGAATTGCTTTTATTATTTAATAATGATTATACTATTAAAAAGCACTTTTTTAACACATTGAATTGTAAAATTTTAAAAATTTTGGTAAAAAATTTGCAGGTCCGACATTTGACAGGTGGTTAAGAGCAGCCCCCGCACAAAGCTTTGAAAAGGAAAAAAAAACTCACACATTGTTCTTGAATACACCAGTGTTTTTTGTTTACAGATGAGCAATGTTTTGGCATTAGGCCTTCGGCAAAAAAAAATTCCTGACCATTACTCATCTGTACATCAAAAGCAAAGAGATGAGAGAAAAGTAAAAAGTTGATCACTTATTTTAATCTGAACTAGGGATGTAAATCGGCGACCGTTTAACCGGTGGTTGACCGTCACAGCGTTAACCGGTCAAAGCTGTCGGTTAAAAAAGAGAAAAAGGGGAGAGGGGAGGTCTCTTAATAACGCTATTTTAAGCCCTATTTGCACGGTGTGACGAGCGGGTCCATATCTAGCTGTGTGCGCCAATGTATTATAAACTCCGGGACGACTCTCACGCCGCACGAGCCACATATGCACACACGCACGCGCATGCACACACACACACACTTTCCCCCTCTCCATACGTAACATCCACACGCATCATCTCTCCCCTCTGTTACCGTCAAAGTTGCACACTGGCGCGGGTCCGAACTACATTGGAGCTTACATTTACACACACACACATATACATACCGGTCTGTCGCGCTCCTCTGTGTCACGGAGCCCAAAGGATTCGCGCAAATACGCGGCTCCAGTCAAACCACATGGAACATGTTTGTGTTTATTGTCCTCGGGATCAGCGCCACACACATCACTTGTATTTAAACTTTTGTGAAGACCTGTGAGACGCGGCTCGTCACTCGCTGCTCTGACCATGTGAACGAGCCGTCGTTTGCTGCTAGAAAGTTTTGGTATTAACCCGCAGCACAGCAGAATGGGAAGATTAAAAAAGCAGTTCTCTGTGCGCAAAGGTGCCGGAGCTGTTGCGGGTTTGGGCGCCGCTGTCTCAGCTCTGATCCAGTAGAACGCTCAGCTGCACTTATGAAAAGTACGCGGCTCGAAATGGCTGTTATTTCAAAGAACGTGGACTATTTTAAACTACGCGGTTAACCGGTTTCAACCGGTTAATGAGGCTCGGTGGTCGGTCATGAAAATTCATAGTTTTTTACATCCCTAATCTGAACTAATACTTTAGGATTTAAAAAACAAGATGGCTGTTGTAACTTTCTAGTTATTTCTACAGGTTGTTCGGTCAGCTGTGACGAGTGGGGCTGGGAGCACCACTTCTGGTGTAGTGTCAGGAAGTCTTGGATCCAGGGAAATAAACTACATACTGCGTGTTTTGGGTCCAGCAGCATGCCGCAATCCTGAATGTTTCATTGAAACTGCGAGTAATTGCGTCCGCATAGCTTTACCTGCTCCTCGAGGGGCTGGCACAGGTCAGTTTTAGATGATTTGCACATTTTATTTCATCACATATCCTTCTAATCAATTAATTATTTTCTCACGTTGCTTTGTTCCTGTAGCCTCTGATGATGAGTTTGAAAACTTGAGAATTAGAGGACCAAATGCAGTGCAGCTGGTTAAGACAACTCCATTAAAATTGTCCCCGTTGCCATCTATTCCGGATACCATCAAGGAGGTTCTTTATGACATGCTCAATGCATTGGCAGCTTACCATGCTCCCGAAGAACGTAAGATCGGATCAAATGTGAAACTCTGACTTACTGAGTGACCTAATCCAAACTGTCCCTTCAGCTGAGCGCCCAGAAGAGCGCGCAGTAGCTGTACATGGCGGACAAGACCTTTGTCAAATACTGCAGGATGTTGGTGATGATGTGTACCAGCAGTACAGGCTCACACGACAAGGCAGTGATTTTGACTCCCAGTCTGCATTCCACATTAATGTGGGTCTGATTGACACATCAAGTTCTTGTTTCTTTTTAGTTGTTTTAATCCAGTTTGTACTTAAATATAGACTCAAGTATTTGCAGCTGATGGTGCTGTGGCTGAGACCTCACAAACAGGAACACCACAAGGCGAAGGTTGATATATTTTTATTTTTAATTTTATTATTATTAAAGCATACACAAATCAACTTGTTTGAACAATGTTGTGATCTTTACTGTCTTTTTAGCAAACTCCCCAGAGGAAATGCGTGAGGAGAAAAAAGAACAAGAGGGAGAGAAAAACTGCTCAGAAGAGGGAAAGGCTGCCAAGGCAAAGGCTTCTAAGCCCCTAATGCCAACTTCTACCATTCTCAGATTGCTGGCTGAACTTGTGCGCTCCTATGTGGGAATCGCCACATTAATTGCCTCATACTGCTACACTGCTGGGCAATCTGAGCTGATTAAGGAGGTTTGTGGTTCAATAATGTGCTTTCATTTATTTTTTTATTTGACTTTTGATAAATCATTACTTGGCCTCTTTTTGTGCATTATAGGATTGCAGTGTTCTTGCATTTGTGCTAGATCATTTACTTCCACATACCCAGAATGCAGAAGATAAAGACACTCCGGCTCTCGCACGACTCTTTTTGGCTAGTTTGGCCGCTGCTGGCACAGGGACAGATGCTCAGGTTGCTCTGGTCAATGAGGTGAAGGCTGCACTCAGTCGTGCACTTGCTATGGCTGAAGGTGCTGAAAAACATGCTAGGTAAATGTTCTTCGAAGAAAGTGACAAGAAGAAGCCTTTTTTTATTTGACAACCATTTTTATTTCTTTCAGACTTCAAGCGGTTATGTGTATTATTAGCACTATTATGGAGTCCTGCCCTTCAACTTCTAGTTTCTACAGCACTGCAGCGGCTAAAACTCAACACAATGGCATGAATAATATTATTAGGCTTTTCCTCAAGAAAGGCCTGGTCAACGATTTGGCTCGAGTACCCCATAGCTTAGATTTATCAAGGTATGAACTTAATTAAAAACAAACATTTGTTGTTGTTTTGTCTTTATGAGTTTTCTTTTTTGTAGTCCCAATATGGCAAATACAGTGAATGCTGCCTTAAAACCACTTGAAACACTATCTCGCATTGTAAACCAGCCAAGCAGTTTATTCGGAGGCAAAGGAGGCTCGAATAAGAATAAGACTGAGCATGACACGGTGTGCACTGCAAGGGACAGTAACAGTAACACACAGGACCAAAGTAGGTTATTTAACAAATGTTTTTCTCAACACAGCAATAAATAAATAAATACGTTATTTTTTTTCCCCCTCAACAGGTGAATCAGGTGAGACAGAGCCAGTAGTTGGAAATCGTGTCACAGGACCAGATAGTGACCTCATGGATGGTGAGACTGAAGGAGATACAGTTGTAATTGCTGGTCAGCCCGAAGTTCTTAGTACTCAAGCTATGCAGGTAACTGAAGAATGAAAATACAGTGATGTGTAAAAGTATGCATACTGTACTTTTAAACATTGTGTCTTGTTATGATATACACATGAAGATATTGAATTGGCATTTAATTAGAAAGATTAACACAAAATGATTGGCACTTTTACAAATAAACTGGAAAGTGTGTACCACTGATAATCATTCCTGCACACACAAGACTCAAACTCTGTGAGAAGTGTCTTGCTTGTTAGTTGTTCTTAGTTCTTGTTAGTATCTCTCATGAATTGCCAATAAAATATCTTTTTGTTTGTGGCCGCAATTTGACAAAAATGTTCATGGGGTGCAAGTACTTGTAGTATATAATTTTTACCTTGTCAAATCTGATACCATTGCTGTTTATATGCAGGTAGAGAACGAGTTGGTGGATCTAATTGATGAGCTGTTGGAAAGGGATTCTGGCACTGTAAATAGCACAATTATAGGTGAGAAAAATGTTTATAATTATTTGGAACAAAATAAAACTATGAATGAAAGTAATTCTTATGTCAACATTTACCAGTGGGACAGAGTGGTGAAGATGAATCCCAGGAAGATGTTTTGATGGATGAGGCTCCATCTAATATTAGCCAAGCATCTACTCTTCAGGCAAACCGTGAAGGTAAAATAAAAAAAAACCCTATCTCCAGATTATTCTATTCTCACATTATCATTATTTTCAGATTGTTACTTTAATGTTTCTATTGTGAAATACTATGCAAGCTACTGTGACAATTTCCCTTGTGGATTGATAAAGTGTCTAGATCTAGAGGGGGTTGGCCCTGTATGTGTGCCCCCAAAAAAGTATCCTAATATAACTATTTACTAAAGTATTAGATTAACAGTTTATTATTGACCTTTTATTTTAGTGATCAATAAACTGTGTTACTGTTAAGACTAAATACAATAAAAACCACATGCATTTGACAACTTTGATAGTGAAGATTTGAATAATGTCCTGGTGTGATTTCCCTGCATTTAGTGATGCAATTACTAAATAAATACTACTAAATACTAAATAATTTGGTTTTATTCTGTATCAGACTCAATGAACATCTTGGAACCAGAGGATGAAGAGCATACTCAGGAAGAAGACTCCAGTGGAAGTAATGATGATGAAGACAGTCAGGATGAGGAGGAAGAAGAGGAGGAGGAAGAAGAGGAGGACCAGGTATCAATTATCATTTAATTTAACCCTAGGATCAATCTCATGGACAACTTTTTTTTTTTTTTTTTGTAGGACGATGAAGAGGGTGATGAGGATGATGATGACGAAGGTTCAGAGATGGAGTTGGATGAAGACTTTCCTGACATTAATGCCGCTCCTCACATTCGGTTTGAGCGCTTTGACAGAGATGATGACCTCATCATCGAATTTGACAACATGTTTTCGAACAACGGTACTTTCAAAATTGTAATCTCCTGAACTCCTGACTGCTTCTTAATCTGAAATAAATTAGACTTCTTTAAAGCTGCTTCTGCTAACATGTATCCTTTCGTCCTGCAGCTGACATCCCCCCATCCCCAGGCAACATTCCTAGCTCACATCCACTTATGGTGCGCCACGCCGATCATGGCTCTCTGACTCTTGGCGTGGCAGGCTCCAGCAGCCGTTTGGCCCAGGGCATGGGCCGCAGCCAAAGAACATTGCGACAGTTGACTGCAAACAGCGGCCACACCATCCATGTCCACTATCCCGGCAACCGCCAACCGAACCCTCCCCTCATCCTGCAAAGGTGAATAATAATCACTTTTACCACTTCAAGTGCTTTATTTTTAATTAAATTGTCCTTATGACAAATGTTGTCTTGTGTACCAGATTGTTGGGTCCCAGTGCAGCAGCCGACATTTTGCAGTTGTCCAGTTCTCTTCCCCTGCAGTCTCGTGGCCGTGCGCGTTTGTTGGTTGGAAATGAAGACGTGCATATTATTGCTCGCTCAGATGATGAGTTGTTTGATGATTTTTTCCATGAACAGAGTGGCACTGGTGGTCAAGCAGGTAACTCAATATATTACATAATCTATACTGTATATATAAATAATGTATTTTGTCTAATTAAGATATCTATTTGGGCGGCACGGTGGCTGAGTGGATAGCACTCTCGCCTCTCAGCAAGAAGGCCCTGGGTTCAAATCCCGGTTGGACCAGGGCCTTTCTGAGTGGAGTTTGCATGTTCTCCCTGTGTCTGCGTAGGTGTCCTCCGGGCACTTCGGTTTCCCCTACCACTAAAAATATGTCCAATAGTTCTGGCATGCACCTCCTGTACTGGCGACCCCGCTCCCATTTCTGTGTGGAGTAAGAGACAAATGCCCAAAAATTAACAATTGTAAACCGCTTTGAGACTCAGATCTGCAGTGAAAAGGCGGTATATAAATATAGACTACTACTATCTATTTTCTAGGCACTCTTTCAAGTATACCCACTGCACTGACAAGATGGACTGATGAGTGTAAAGTTCTTGATGCTGAAAGCATGCACGATTGTGTTGCTGGTAAGACAATTTGTTTTTTCATTACATTCAAACATTTGAAACAACTTTTACTCAAGTTAATTATTTTTTTTCCATTTTAGTTGTCAAAATCCCAATTCTTCAGCATTTAGAACATCTACGTGATGAAGAACTAGAAGAAAGAAGGGAAAAACGCAGGAGACAAATGGCTGAAGAGGAAGAGTCTAAGCAGAATGAAAGAAGAGCCTCTGGAGCAGAGCAGTCGAGAGAGCAGTGTCTGCAGGTGTGTTTAAAGTAGAATATTTTCAGTCTCTTTAAAAAAGGATGACAGTTTGACCACTTGATCAATTGTCCTCAGGGCTCTGGACTGGGGGCAGTGAATGGTGCAGACAACACTGCAGGTATTTTCAGCTTAAACATTAACTGGCAACTTTTCAGTAAAATCGGAATGCATGGCTCCTGGTGAAGGCAAATTCAAATAGGCGTGTCCTGAGATGAGGTAGTAGTTTGTATAGTTTTAGGATCACACCAGATCTGGGAGATAACTATACAGTCTACTGTCTTTCTTATGGCACAGCCAAAGCAGCTACATTTCTTGAACACTTGTAAGTGATATTTTTGTAAATGTTTCCACTACTGCCCTTTCTTTTTGGATTCAACTTTTATTTTATTAGCTAGGCTGTGGTGAGGTAGTAAGTTGTGTTGTTGTTGGGGATCAGGATTGAAATCCCCGTTTAGGAGATAACTATACAACTTACTGCCTTCCTCAGTGAAAGCAGCTTGCGTCAACACAATAAGTATTTAATTTTTTAATTTGTAAATAACTTGGTATATATTTTCTGCCTTGTTTAGTTTGACATAAATTGTGTTTGCATATTTCAGAAGGTGAGCAGGCTCAGGGTAGTGCAGTGACATGTCTGGACCCCCCCAGAGTTGAAGGCTTTCTTACAGCGCCACCATCTGGAGAGGTCACCCCTACCACTCCAGCTCCTCATGAGCAGGCCTTGGTCTCCTTAGAAACTGCTATAAGTCAGCAGGTGCACCAGCCAATAGCTGACCTGTTGTTGGCAGAGTCTCAAGCCAGCTCCCTGGCTGCTTTGGCCGGGGCAGGCCTTGCCTCTTTGTCAGACAGGCAAAGCCATGACATGGAAGCATCTCAGATGGAAATGTCCCCAGCGCCGACAATCGGTGAGAGAGCCAGAGGAAGTGGTGGAGGAGAAAGAGGAGCGGATGAAGGCAGGGAAGGTAGAATAACTTTAAAGCTATTGCATACAGCTACAGGTGACTGTAGAAGGGATAATAATCTAAAATGAGCACAGTGTTAAAAATGATGATTTTTCTAGGGGTGTAACTCTTTAGGAATCTAATGGGTCAATTTCATTTCAATATGCAGTCTCTGTGATTCACATCAGACGTTTTCTTGTCATTTGTTGTTACCAAAATTTGTCAATTGTTTGTTTAAAAAAAATAAAAATAATAAGTTTTACAACAGGCACAGTTTTCCCCATTTGGCTCATATATCATTGATAATATCAATGAACACTTCACATTTGTGGAACTCTTTGACATGGTCCAACTGTGACTACACATACTTTCCCATAAAAAGTTCTTAATTGGAAACCTATAGTTGTAAAATTATTTTAGATTTAAAACCTAACCAAGAACAGGGGCTCTGCTGTATACATAGCACTCACTATGTAGCTATGCATAGTGAATGCACTATAGTGGAAAAAAAATATTTTTTGCACCAATGCATTGAGTCATTGGTGCAAAAAATATAGTTACACCCCTAGTTAATTCACATTTTGCCTTTTTCTATATGCATTATAAGTATGTTTTTGCTCCACAGCTTCTCTGAGTCCAGATATTGTTGAGTCATCTGAGCCTGCAGCAGTGGGTGTGTCGCAGCTTGAATTCTCTCCCATGGATACCAGCAGTCCTGGTTCTGCCACTCTGGAGGAGGTTTCTGCTGCTCCTCCACAAACGACCCATCTCTCTCAGGAGCTTTCAGGGGAGAGTGGACTAACAGACAGACAGACAGATGTTGATACTGGGTAAACAGCAGCATAGTTTTTGTATGTAATGAACGAATCTGCATGTTACAGCTTGCTGATATTTACAGCTCAACTTCGGTTTCCTCTCCTGGTGAAAACATGCCAAGAAGTGATAGTGCAGACAGCCAGACACAGGCAATCCAAGAGGAACCTCTTCCATCTACCAGCAATGAAGAGGAGGATCCACTTGCTGGTAAAAAATAGTGAAATTATATACATTTTGTTCCTCAGTTTTTTATACTGACACTATGCCCCTCACTCTTGCATATAAACATTTACCCTATTATTCCCCAACTTAGTAAGTATCAACATTTTAGATGTTATTAGATTTCACTCTTAGTCAACAAATTTAAGTTGGCATTTGTTTTGGTGCCTTTTTGTGAGGATCACTATTGGCTTAATTATAGAACCATACTTTACATCACCAGTCTTGTACAGCTAAATAGATTTGATTCATGAGTGAAATCAGTCCCCTTCCTAGACATGGGGGGGAAACATACAAATTCCACACAGAAAGGCCTGTATATCAAATCTGTGACATTCCTGCTGTGATTATCAGAGCCAAACACCCCCAACACCACAATTCTGCCAACAAGGGAAGCCAGAGTGTTAATGCGATTGACTACATACTAGTATACAGATTTACAGTATTTTATTTGCAAGTTGCTAAAAGCAATATCATCTCCCAATAATGTCAAGCCACTAAACCCAGGGAATTTCCTATTGACTATATTGATATACATTTATTACATTTTCAGGTATCAGTCTACCAGAAGGTGTGGACCCCTCTTTTTTGGCTGCACTTCCAGAGGACATACGCAGAGAGGTTCTTCAAAACCAGCTGGGTATCAGACCACCATCTCGTCCGCCTGTTACTGCGACCCTGCCCTCTTCTACCACCCCTGTGCTGGGGGCACCAGGCATTACGGAGGTTAGCCCTGAGTTTCTAGCTGCCTTGCCGCCGGCCATCCAGGAGGAGGTGAGTGAAAAAGGTACTATATGGACCATTTGTGTTATTCTCTACTAAAACTCTTGTTCTCTCTTGTTCTAGGTTCTTGCTCAACAACGAGCAGAGCAGCAGCGGAGGGAGTTGTCCCAGCAGCCTCCACAGGGAGACACCCCTCTGGATCCAGTCACATTTATCCAGACTCTCCCCTCTGAGCTGCGGCGTAGTGTGCTGGAGGACATGGAGGACAGTGTGCTGGCAGTCATGCCTCCTGATATCGCGGCAGAAGCGGCTGCTTTGCGTAGAGAACAGGAAGCACGACAGAGGCAGCTTATGCATGAGCGGCTTTTCGGTCACAGCTCATCATCAGCTCTGTCAGCCATCTTGAGGTCACCTGCATTTACAAGTCGTTTGGGCAGCAATCGTGGAGTCCAGTACACTCGGCTGGCTGTACAGAGGGGAAGTACTTTTCAAATGGCAGGGGGAACAAATCACAGGTGTAGTAATGTCTTTCTTTGTTTTTGATGGAGATAAGAAATTGTTTTTGACAAAATTTATGTCTTTTCCTCAGACCCTCTAGTTCTAATGTGGACTCTTTACTGCGGCTACGTGGTCGGCTGTTGCTGGACCATGAGGCTTTGTCCTGTCTGCTAGTGCTGCTCTTTGTAGATGAACCTAAGTTGAACACAAGTCGCCTGCATAGAGTGCTCAGAAACCTCTGCTATCACTCTCAAACTCGCGGTTGGGTCATCCGCAGCCTGCTGTCCATTCTTCAGCGCAGCAGTGAGAGTGAAGTGTGTGTGGAGACATCCCGCCTGGAAGACTCCCGTGGCAAAAGAAGCCTTCAGGGTGGTTGTGGTGGAAAAGGTTCTACAGTATCATCTCTCTCTTCTTCCTCATCGTCATCTTCATCTTCCTCGTTAGAGCTGCTAAACAGGGTCGAATCCAAAAGTTCCAATCAATTGTCTTGGCTTTCTGTTTCAATGGATGCAGCATTGGGCTGCAGAACTAATATATTCCAGATTCAGCGAGTATCAGGACGAAAACATGCTGACCGCCACTCAGTGGGGGGTTCCACAGGGTCCGGTGCAATTGGGTCAGGGATTGCTGGGACCACTGCAGGGGTGACCTGTGCAGGAGGCGGGGGCTCTACTGTTCATATTCATCCACAGGCTGCACCTGTGGTCTGTCGACATGTTCTGGATACACTGATTCAACTGGCCAAGGTCATTAGTCTAAATACCAGTTATCAATGTCAATGACATGTCACATTTTAATTGTCTGTCTGTACTAATCTGTCCTACAGGTGTTTCCTATCCACTTCACGCAACAGCGCTGTAAAGACCTATCGTCTTCATTGGACCTAGACTCCCGTCTCTGCACAGGGCCAGGAAGTGGTAGCAAATCAAGCTCTCAAACCTGTGTTTCTTCTAATGCCTCAAATTCCCAAAACACCTTAGGCTCTTGTGTTGCCACACCCCAATCACTAGGAATTTCCACAGATTTCTGGGACCTGTTGGTAAAGTTGGACAATATGAATGTCAGCCGCAAAGGCAAAGCCTCCATGAAGACTGTGCCTCTCGGAGGCAGTGCAGAGGCTGAAGGAGCTCAGCTAAGCCTGGAGACCTCTCCTTTGGGCCAATTGATGAACATGTTGTCTCATCCAGTCATCAGAAGGAGCTCTCTTCTAACAGAAAAGTTACTGCGGCTGCTTTCCCTAATATCAATTGCTCTGCCTGATAACAAAGCAACAGAGGTGCCAGCCGCACACCCCACTCCACAGGCTGCCAACCCCAGTGTACCCAGCAACCCAGTAGCTACTGTTCCAGTCACTGCAGGGACCACAGTGTTGCCAGGCACGACGCAGGCCACAGTGACTCTGGCCAGTGCCTCTGCTGCAATGTCAACCCAGACCTCAACTGCAGCCATCAGCTTAGCGGCATCCACACCCTCCACCACAATCTCAATACCCACATCTACTGGAACCACTGTTTCAGGTAGCTCAAAGCAGCAATTTACTGTAAATAAAAATGATAATGAAAAATCTCACCACACATCTTTTTTAGGAAAAGCTAGGGGAATAACCAGCTGCATAGAGAGTGAGAAAATGGCATCTGCTGGGCTGACTGAGAAACAACTTCAACTATCTGTAGAGGTAAGCTTCTCAAAAAATGTACAAGTCTTTAACTTGAAATTTATTCAATACGACTGCGCCATTACATGTCTGCTTTGTCCCAGGTGTTGACTTCTCATTCATGCTCAGAAGAAGGTCTAGAGGATGCAGCAAATATTCTGCTACAGCTGTCCAGAGGGGACTGTAGCACCAGAGACACTGTATTGAGACTGTTGCTCAGTGGAGCTAGACATCTCGGATACACTCTTTGTAAACAAATTGGTATGATCTTTGTAGCTTCAATAATATGTTGGAAAAAAATGTTCTAACAGTTGAATATTGTCAGGTACGTTATTGGCTGAACTGAGGGAATACAATTTGGAACAACAAAGAAGAGCACACGCAGATTCCCACTCCCCTGATGCACCGCCTGAGGACTCCTCGCTGTCAGCAAGACTGAGGGGCAAGATGACCAGCAGGTGAATTAGCGCGAGAGCACAACAATTGATTAAACGGAGTGCTAAATAATTTGGTTTCTTTTCCTGTGTTTTTGCCTTTGCTTTAGGTTCGACGGAGCAGAAAATGTGGTCATTGTTGCTGCTCAAAAGCGAACTCTTGGTGGTCGTGAGCTGCAGCTTCCTTGTATGAGTTCGCTGACCTCAAAAACATCAACACAGAAGTTTTTCCTAAGAGTTCTCCAAGTAATAATTCAGCTAAGAGAAGACACGCGGCGCGCAAACAAGAAGGCCAAACAGACTGGCCGATTAGGTATTAAAATTACCTGGTTTTTCCCCATTACCTAACTTCACTGCATTTTATTATATATTTTGTAAATCATCAGGTTCTTCGAGTCTGGGCTCAGCCAGCAGCATCCAGGCAGCTGTGCGTCAGCTCGAGGCTGAAGCTGATGCCATCATTCAAATGGTGAGGGAGGGTCAGCGTGCACGTCGTCTCCAGCAGGCAGCGCCACCTTCTGCCTCTGCTGCTGTGTCTGTGGCAGCTGGATCGTCTGTAACAACTGGCCATGCTCCTGCTGGTGCTGCTCCCCCTGCTGGCACTGCTGCCACGGTTAGCATGGGCTGCACTGACAGTTGGCATACTTGCTGGCACTGCTACATTCAATTGATACGTTATACTTTGCACAAACCAATACCAGTATGAGAAAAAACCCACAAATAATGGTACTGCTTCTGGGTCCAACCATTTCACACCATATATTAGGGCTGGGTGATATGGGTAAAGAATTATCACTATATAAAGGAAATGCAATAATGCATCGGTTTTATATTGCGCTTTTTTTGTACACTCAAAGACTCAAGACTCTTTACATTCATTCACTCCATACACAGTGGTGATAAATTACTACTGTAGCCACAGGTGCCCCGGGTCACACTGACAGAAGTGAGGCAACCATCAACCCTCTGACCACCATCACGCACAGACCAGACTCATTCTAGGCAATGTGGGTGGGACATAGAATACTAAAGCAAAACCACCACATGCAGGTATTTCAGTATACTATATCAGCCAAATATGACTTATTAAATCGATAACTTCAACAACATTCTAATGTCAATAAGGAAACAGTTGTACAAGAAAGAACACCATACTTTGTTCAATAAAATACAGTGATATCACTATGGTCATTAAGAGGCATTGAGCTGTGTCTGTGTAGGTTTTCTCTTTGTGCTTAGCTATTTCATACCTTCTAAAAATATGTGCAATAGGTAAGGCAAGGCAAGGCAAGGCAAGGCAAGTTTATTTATATAGCACAATTCATACACAAGGCAATTCAAAGTGCTGAACAAAACAAGAAAGCATTAAAATCATAAATTATCACAGAACATTAAAAAGAAAGATAAAAATATAAAATCCCTCAGTTGTATGCACAGTTAAACAGAACCGTCTTTAACCTGGTTTTAAACATTGTCAGAGAGGAGGCCTGTCTCACATCTTCAGGAAGACTGTTCCAGATTTTAGCAGCATTAATCTGAAAAGCAGCCTCCCCATGTTTAGTTCTGACTCTGGGCACTAACAGGAGTCCAGTCCCTGTGCTCCTCAGAGTCCGGGCTGGTTCATATGGGACTAACATGTCACTAATATATTTTGGTGCGAGGCTATGGAGAGACTTGTACACAAGCAGAGCTGTTTTAAAGTCTATTCTCTGAGCCACAGGAAGCCAGTGCAGAGACCTGAGGACTGGACTAATGTGGTCGTACTTCCTGGTTCTTGTCAGGACTCGAGCTGCTGCATTTTGAATGTACTGCAGCTGTTTTACAGCCTGTTTGGACAGACCTGTGAGCAGGCCATTGCAGTAGTCTAACCTACTGGAGACAAATGCATGGATAAGAATCTCCAAGTCTGCTTTAGACACTATGTTTTTGATCCTGGCAATGTTTTTTAGATGGTAAAAAGCTGCTGATGTTACTGATTTGATGTGGCTATTAAAATTTAAGTCTGAGTCCAGTATTACCCCTAGATTTCTGACCTTGTTTGAAGGTTTTAGGGAGAGAGAGACTGTAGGTGACAGATGACGCTCTCTCTTTGTTTCTGGGGACCAAAGACAATCATTTCAGTTTTGTCTGCGTTTAGCTGAAGGAAGTTGTTTTGCATCCACTCACTGATCTGTTGGATACAGTGAAGGAGTGAGTCCACCGGTCCATGTTCTCCTGCAGTCAGTGAGACATAGATCTGAGTGTCGTCTGCATAGTTATGATAGGAAACTTTGTTTCTGCGTATTAACTGACCTAACGGCAGCATGTAGAGATTGAACAGAAGAGGTCCCAGGATCGACCCCTGTGGGACTCCACAGGTCAGGGCCATATGATCTGAGACACAGTTTCCAATCTCCACAAAGTACTTCCTGTCTTCAAGGTAAAAACCAACTTAGGGCGGTGCCAGTGACGCCAACCCAGTCCTCTAGTCCTCTAGATCTCATGGTCGTCGACGGTGTCAAAGGCAGCACTTAGATCTAACAAGATTAAGATTGAGACTTTGCCTGCGTCAGTGTTCAGCCGGATATCGTTTGTAACCTTAACAAGAGCAGTCTCAGTGCTGTGGTGGGGTCTAAAGCCGGACTGAAACATATCAAATGAGTTGTTGATTATAAGAAATCTAGTAAGCTGTAGGTAGACAACTTTCTCAAGGACTTTCCCCATAAATGGCAGATTTGAGATGGGACGATAGTTGTTAAGTACAGTGGCATCCAGACTGCTCTTTTTTAGCAGGGGCCTGATGACTGCAGTTTTCAGGTATGAGTGTTGTGAGTGAAGGGAGGGTAATGGTCAGAGGCTTCAATGCGACAAATGCATAGCATTTCACTGACCGTGTGGAAATTACTGGTACACCCAAAAGATCAAGCCCTTGGTGTGACCTTGGTCTGAAATTTGCTATCCAAAGAAAAAATTATTGAGAGCTTAGTGGCAAATTCTATTATTACTATAGGGTGGGACGAGACTAGGGCTGCACGATATATCGATAAAATATCGTTATCGCAATATTGGTGCGTGCGATATCCATGTTGAAAAGGTACGCAATAAAATGTGTTATATATTTTAGACAACAAAACAGACACCCATCAACATTCAACAAGAACAACAAAGTATATTAATATATGCATTTGAAGGTCATAAATGTTGTGCTTATTTTTTTGTCTCTTGCGTTTCAATGTAGATTTCTATTTTAGGTGACAGACAAATATCGCAATACTAAACACTCATATCGACTATCTCTCCCAATTTCCAATATCGTACAGCCCTAGATGAGACCCATCTAGGGCTATATATTATAGAAAAATATATTTTGAATTCACGACTAAAAATCTCAAAATCATTGCTACTGTGTAAAACCCACACTGTTGAACCAGATCTTGCGATTCTTCTGTATTGCACACAATATTGATGTGTCAATCTTTGCAACGTACTCCCATTCTTACTGATTAACACTAAATGTTTGAAAGAAAACACATTTTGTAGTGTCGTGTATAGGGAAACAAATAGTGTAACTGTTATTCAAAATCTTAACTTCAACAGTGCCAGTTAAAACATTGTGTGAGCCACTGTGACATATATCAATGATATTTTTGTTCATTTCAAAATGACAGCTGTTAAGTTTTAACCTGCCCCTTTTCTCTACATGTTGATTATAAAATTAAAAAAACAAAAATGCATTGATATGCTGACTGTCACCTGCATTTACTCACTTATTACTCCGTGGTTACTTCTGCTTGAGTTTTGTTTTGAGAATTTTTGCAGGCTGGCAGTGCTTCTTGCTTTTGTCCCTCTATCCCTGTGCTGTGTTTCATCTTGTATTTCAAATAACATTAAATGCATGACCAAAATAGTTCAATATTTAGTATTTATACTGTAATTTCCTTCCGTTATTCAAAGTCTGATGCCGCAGCTGCATCGGATTCTCAGGCAGCCCAAAGAGATGATTCGCCCATGGATGTCGACCAGCCCTCCCCTCTGGAGCAGGACCCTGCACCGCTGGGTATTTCTGCATCACATTCAACATCTTAGAACTAGAAATGTAATGCATTTTTGACTAATGGACTTGTACTTTTTGAAGATGAAGATGGAAATAGCCTTGGGGAAGTGGAAGACAGGCTTCCAGACCTTCCACTCCTCAGTGAGCAGCTGTTGTTGGATGAGCTTTGGGACATGCTCGGGGAGTGCCTCAAAGAATTGGAAGAGTCTCATGACCAGCATGCTGTCCTGGGTGAGTGTTCATTCTATTGGTATATTCCAATTGGTCACGTGTATGAAAACTGCTTTATAGATATAATTTGATTGGTTGAATTGGACCTCAACCGTTCTGTCTCTGTACCGTTTTAAAAATGAGTTTAGAGATTTCCATATTTTATGGACTATTAAGTGCACCTGTATATAAGCCGCACCATCAATCAATCAAATTATATTAATAATATATTAAGAAGTCACTCAAACACACGAACACGCACGCACGCACGCACAGACCAGTTAAACCATGGAAAGAGACTTGGCAGGGTTCAGATGAAACCAGCTTGGCCAGACCCCAAGGGCCAGACCCCCTTGGGGTAGTTCATGAGTATGTGTTCACGGAGGTGCGAAATAAGTTTATTTTATTATTAAACGGTATTTCCGCATCGGCGAACACACTCGAAGCAGTTGCATAAAGTCACGGGAGCATGACAACGCATACAGTGCCTTGCGAAAGTATTCGGCCCCCTTGAACCTTTTAACATTTCCCCACATTTCAGGCTTCAAACATAAAGATATAAAATTTTAATTTTGTCATGAATCAACAATTGGGACACAATCGTGAAGTGGAACAACATTTATTGGATAATTTAAACTTTTTTAACAAATAAAAAACTGAAAAGTGGGGCGTGCAATATTATTCGGCCCCTTTACTTTCAGTGCAGCAAACTCACTCCAGAATTTCAGTGAGGATCTTTGAATGATCCAATGTTGTCCTAAATGACTGATGATGATAAATAGAATGCACCTGTGTGTAATCATGTCTCCGTATAAATGCACCTGCTCTTTGATAGTCTCAGGGTTCTGTTTAAAGCGCAGAGAGAACCATGAAGACAAAGGAACACACCAGGCAGGTCCGAGATTCTGTTCTGGAGAAGTTTTAAGCCGGATTTGGATACAAAAAGATTTCCCAAGCTTTAAACATCTCAAGGAGCACTGTGCACGCAATTATATTGAAATGGAAGGAGTATCAGACCACTGCAAATCTACCAAGACCCGGCCGTCCCTCCAAACTTTCATCTCAAACAAGAAGACTGCAGATAATTACAGCTGAGGTGGGAGAGTCTGTCCATAGGACAACAATCAGTTGTGCACTGCACAAATCTGGCCTTTATGGAAGAGTGGCAAGAAGAAAGCCATTTCTCAAAGATATCCATAAAAAGTCTCGTTTAAAGTTTGCCACAAGCCACCTGGGAGACACACCAAACATGTGGAAGAAGGTGCTCTGGTCAGATGAAACCAAAATCGAACTTTTTGGCCACAATGCAAAACGATATGTTTGGCGTAAAAGCAACACAGCTCATCACCCTGAACACACCATCCCCACTGTAAACATGGTGGTGGCAGCATCATGGTTTGGGCCTGCTTTTCTTCAGCAGGGACAGGGAAGATGGCTAAAATTGATGGGAAGATGGATGGAGCCAAATACAGGACCATTCTGGAAGAAAACCTGTTGGAGTCTGCAAAAGACCTGAGACCGGAGATTTATCTTCCAACAGGACAATGATCCAAAACATAAAGCCAAATCTACAATGTAATGGTTCACAAATAGACGTATCCAGGTGTTAGAATGGCCAAGTCAAAGTCCAGACCTGAATCCAATCGAGAATCTGTGGAAAGAGCTGAAGACTGCTGTTCACAAACGCTCTCCATCCAACCTCATTGAGCTCGAGTTGTTTTGCAAGGAAGAATGGGCAAGAATTCCAGTCTCTCGATGTGCAAAACTGATAGACATACCCCAAGCGACTTGCAGCTGTAATTGCAGCAAAAGGTGGCGCTACAAAGTATTAGCGCAAGGGGGCCGAATAATATTGCACGCCCCTCTTTTCAGTTTTTTATTTGTTAAAGTTTAAATTATCCAATAAATTTTGTTCCACTTCACGATTGTGTCCCACTTGTTGATTCTTGACAAAAAATCTTAATTTTTATATCTTTATGTTTGAAGCCTGAAATGTCGCGAAATGTTGAAAGGTTCAAAGGGGCCGAATACTTTCGCAAGGCACTGTATATTCACAAGCACACAGTCCCCCATTGTCAACCCTGGTTTAGTCCTGGTGTAGCTCCTGTTTTGGCTGTTTACAGTATTTTCAGTCTGCTCACTCAGTCTGCTAATGTTCCCGTGACCACTTTGTGGCTCTCTGATTGGTCTCTGCACGAACGTCCGAGGAAACGTTCAGCAAAGTTTATTTCCCAACGCACACAGGAGATAAACTGTGCGTCGAGACGCACATGTCTCGACGCACATGTCCCAAGACGCACATGTATTTTGACGCTCAAACGCGCGTCACCATTGACTTTGCATTGAAAGCAGACGCAACGCATGATCCGGTCTGAACGCGGCTTACAAAAGTCCTAAGCTAAATTCAGCTAACTAATCTAACAATAAAAGCAACTAATGACTAAAACTACAATATTCAACAACGCTGTTAACACTACACAATTATCTATAATACAAACAGCTATGCTAATAAAAATCTACCTAATCTGCTATAACTAATCGCAAACCTGACAATCAATAAAAATACTCTCTGCTATTCCTTCTCCAACTCGCAACCAGGGCGTGAACGAGACTGGGCCGTTTATATACCTCAGGGCGGCAGGGAAACTGACGTCAGGAGCCACTGCTGCGCCAATGGTGGTGCCAGTTTCAAAATTCAAATGTAGTAAATACAGGTCGCCTGCAGATGGCGCCTCACAGACTGTTTGAGACAGAAAGTTGATCTTTCAACTAATTTGCTCTAAAGTGACAAAATTATGACCAGGATATGTACACAACGCTATTGGACACATATCGTTTATCAGTGTGTTGTCCTTTAAACAGTTAGAAACCAATTCACACACACAATCACATACTGCAAAATATACAGCAATGTTGATAAATGAGAGCTATTGTCTTCAAACTGTGTGTGCTATTTCAGTTCTCCAGCCTGCTGTGGAAGCCTTCTTTTTGGTCCATGCTACAGAGCGGGAAAGCAAACCTCCAGTGCGTGACACACGAGAGAGCCAGCTGTCGCACATCAAAGATGAGCCCCCGCCACTGTCCCCCGCCCCTCTTACTCCTGCCACACCCTCTTCGCTTGATCCCTTCTTCTCTCGAGAACCATCTTCCATGCATATCTCTTCTAACTTGCCCCCAGACACACAGAAGTTTCTTCGCTTTGCAGGTGTATATTCAATTGAGCATTGCTACTTTTCCAAGACAAGGATGGAAAACACTCACAAAAAAACTTTTCTTACAGAAACTCACCGCACAGTCCTTAACCAGATCTTACGACAATCTACTACTCATTTGGCCGATGGCCCTTTTGCGGTTCTGGTTGACTACATTCGAATTCTGGACTTTGATGTGAAGCGAAAGTAAGGAGAAACAATCGCATGTCTTTAAAGTTATAAGAGTGTGTTCTGATGCATTAAAACTGTCATGTCTGCAGATACTTCCGTCAGGAGCTGGAGCGACTAGATGAGGGCTTGAGGAAGGAGGACATGGCAGTGCACGTAAGAAGAGATCATGTATTTGAGGACTCCTACAGAGAGCTGCATCGCAAAAGTCCTGAAGACATGAAGAACAGGCTGTAAATGTCCTAAAACTGTCACTTTACAAAAGTAGCACAGATTATGATATATTGCTTGTGTTGTGTTTCAGGTACATTGTTTTCGAAGGAGAGGAAGGCCAGGATGCGGGTGGCCTTTTGAGGGAATGGTACATGATTATTTCCAGGGAGATGTTCAATCCAATGTATGCCCTTTTCCGGACGTCACCTGGCGACCGTGTCACCTACACTATCAACCCATCATCTCATTGCAACCCAAACCACCTCAGTTACTTCAAGTTTGTGGGTCGTGTGGTGGCCAAGGCTGTGTATGACAACCGCTTGCTGGAGTGTTACTTTACACGCAGCTTCTATAAGCACATCCTGGGAAAAAGTGTCAGGTAAAGACTCTTGTACCTTCACACGATCTTCAGACCTTTGTTGATTTCATCATGAAGATTGTGTAATGATCTGCATATACTATACACATTTCATAGGTACACCGACATGGAGAGTGAGGACTATCCATTCTTCCAGGGCTTGGTGTACCTGTTGGAGAATGATGTCTCCACACTGGGCTATGAGCTGACATTCAGCACAGAGGTTACCCATTTTTGTCAATTTCTTTACAGCATCAGAGTAATTCAGTATTTGAGATTTGCTGAATCACTGTTTAAAATTATTAATGCACATTTAGGTTCAAGAGTTTGGGGTATGTGAAGTCAGAGATCTCAAACCGAATGGCGCCAACATCATTGTCACAGAAGAAAACAAGAAGGAGTATGTCCACCTCGTGTGTCAGATGAAGATGACCGGTGAGTGTATTATGGCGTACACCAGGGGCAGCAAACCTGAAGTTCTTGGCCAATAGTATAGGCGGACATTACATTACTCTGAGCCTTGTGATTATACGATTCAAACGCACAAGTCGCCTTGTGATGTCCAAAAATCTCCTGTTAAATAACTTGGCTGAAGATATTTAATGAATTGACAAAATTAACCCCAGGTGTGAAAAAATCAGCGGGAACAACCACCCCCATTTTAAAGAAAAATTAAACACAATTTAGATTTTTTTTTTTTAAATCAAAAACAAGTGGAGTTTGAATAATTGATACACATTTAGGTCAATACTATTATTCTAGGTCACTACTATTCTTCATATACTCTCCTGTATTTACTCTTATATGGGCTTGTTCACACTAAAGGGCACGAAAGTGTGACAAAAGGCCAAAAATTTGATTTTAATAATCAAAAGATATTTTATGTTTTTCATGTTTCCAAACACCACCTCTGTCCATTAGAAGTTGCTAGAACATAACTGTTTTATACATTAGACAAGTTTCCAATAGCGGCCCTGTTTATTTTCTGTAACGGACGTGATGATTTGACGGAATGGGCTTTGTGGAAGTTTGATAGGTATTTTCAGATGTGATTTGATTCAGAGATTCTACTTTTTTACACAAAGTAGATGCAAAGTGATACTTTCATATTGTCAAGCAATTAAATGTGAAAACAGACCAGATTTTTTTTTCTCAAGTTTAACGTTTTTCAGGGGTCATTTAATTAATTTATTAATTTTTATTTTTTCACGATTCCTTTATATCAAGTGATTTCCTTCTGTTGTGTTAACCATGTAAATCTTGTGGGATTTCATCTTCTGCTTTTTCAGACTGAGGACATTTTATTTTCTATGTAACTGGCGTCACAGTAGAATGGTCCAATCTGAGGCTAATTTGGTCGTTTAAAATGTTGCTAAACATTTTTATGTCAATCTTTCCTTTAGATTTTTTCCACACTATCTCTTCAATGTGTCTGAAATCTTTCTTCCAATCTATGAAAGTAATTTTAGTTTTTAAGTTATAACCTTTTAAAGTCCAGATACTTCAATTGTCACTTTACTGTGAACACACTCATATACTCTTGCTGTCCCTGCTGAAGAAAAGCAGCGGATTTTAGTTTTGAGCTATTCATAATATTTGTGTGTCTTCCTACCACAATACCTTCCACATGTTTAATATGTCACCCACTTTGCTTCTTCTGACTTTATTTGAACACTGGCTTTCTATTTATCGTTTGTCCAGCTAAAACGACTTTTTGACACCCCTGTTGTGTATGACAAATGTACAGAATTCCCCAAGTCAGCTGTGGATGTCTGCAGCTCCTCCAGAGTAACCATTGTTCTTGTGTTGTTCTTGTTTGGGCCGACAGCTGAGGTCGACTCTTGGTAGATTTGCAGTCGTGCCATACGCATTCCATAACCAGAGAATTAATCATTATTGTATTTAAAAAAGAAATGTACACATTGAGAGATGAATACAGATATTGTATCTTGCCGTGAGATTTGGATATTGTTATATCCCTATTTGCAAGAAACCTAATTTTATAAATTTTGAAATAGGGCTGTAACGTTACAAAAGGGAGAAAAGTATATATAAAGTATGTATATTGTGGCTCAATTAGCTACCCTGGTATGAGCATTCACCTTAACATGCCTTTTGTGTGATACACACTTAAGCCACTAGATGGAGTGGAGTTGCCGGTATTATTAAAGGTTAATATGTATATATTGGCGATAGTGATTTAAAATGTATGCATATAATTTTCCTAAATACAACAACTTATTGCTTAATAACAAAGCTTTTAGAACAACACTTTACAACCCACAGTTGTTACTGATGAAAAATCTTTAGGTTATATGAGGAGAAAAACATTTATACTTTAGACATTTTTTATTATAGATAGATAGATAGATAGATAGATACTTTATTGATCCCCGTAGGAGAAATTCAGGTGTCCAGTAGCAGTAAAAATAAAATTGATCATTCTGAAGATATAATAGTAATAATCAGCAACAGCCCTTCAGGTCACAGCAGCAGATGTGGAGTAGCCTCTGGGTGGAGCAGGACGGGTCAATGATAATCAATTAATATTATGATATCATTATATTACATAATATATTTAATTATTATATTATCATATAATCTATTATTATTAATTAATATTATGGATTATTATATTCTCTGCTTTTGACTTGTTTTTGCACTGAGCCAAAGCAATTTCCTAGTCTGACTTCCTGTTACTTACATAAAAATGATTCTGAAAAGACCATTTAAAAAGGGTGTTTCAGACCAGCTCCAGACCACACCCATTACAAAAATGTGTCATGCATTCTGTCATGACCCTCTGATAGCAATAATAAAAACGCTTCCTCCCCTGTTGAACATGGTATGATTGTTGAGCTGCAATAGTAAGGCCACTCTCACATTGCACCATCGCTGCCAGGGTTGGATTTCTTTAGTGTAGATACATATTTTAAATCAAGGTCGTGGTGATTGTGAAGGCCGTTTATTCTGGAGCCTTCTACATTGTGAATGGGCAACAGATGGTTAATTAATATAAAACTCGACTGATATGAGTTCTGTTTTTCTGTCTGTTAGAGGTTAAAATGTAAGTACTGAAGGAATCTTTCTGCAACTGGACATACCAAAAATATTGAAATATTCATCTATGCAATTTAATACATTTCTTTTAAATGTTTGTCTTTATGTGCACATTGTGACGCGTCACCTTTTTAGGCACAGTTAAAGAGCAAAGACAATGTGCCAAATATATTCAGTTTCCAACGCACATGTCAAATACAATTACAAAAAATCTAGCGTAACCTCTGATTGGAATTATATTTTGTAGCATTGGTCAGGTCTTTTGGCAAACAGATCAATCAACAAATTAGTACTTTTTAACACTTAGTAAACCTTTTTAAATGTACTCTCACTCTCAGAGCATACTGGGGTGTACACTTTTGTTTACACAGTACTTTTTCACCTTTCTATAGTTTTTCAACTGTTTTTCACCAATGTAGCACTTGATTAGTGTTGGTTAAAAGTACTTGCACAGAACACTCAAACACCGGTGTCCAGCATAATGAAGCAAATGTTTGAAATAACTTGATTTAGTTTTGAGATGTTTTTGCCGTCTCCCTCTCATTTCTTTTGTAAACTGTACTTATAACTTTTAATCAAAGTATATTGTTATGTCATTTCTAAGGTGCAATCCGGAAACAGCTTGCAGCTTTTCTTGAAGGCTTTTATGAAATCATTCCCAAGAGACTGATCTCAATCTTCACTGAACAAGAGCTGGAGCTGCTCATCTCAGGCCTGCCAACCATTGACATTGACGACCTCAAGGCCAATACAGAATACCACAAGTACCAGTCCAGCTCCATCCAGGTACATCAATTACTTTCAGATTGAAAGCTTTAGTATCCTTGAATTTCAACTCAAAAACACAACCTTAAAAACTATTGAACACACTAAAAAGAGATGCACCTGTGGTTCTCTGTAGATCCAATGGTTCTGGAGGGCTCTCCGCTCATTTGATCAGGCGGATCGGGCCAAGTTCCTGCAGTTTGTGACTGGCACATCTAAAGTGCCTTTGCAAGGCTTTGCTGCGCTGGAGGGGATGAATGGGATCCAGAAGTTTCAAATTCACAGAGATGATCGATCTACTGACCGCCTGCCGTCTGCTCACACCTGGTAAACTCCAACACTAAAATAAAAGTTTTTGCTCTGCACTATACAGGTATTTCTAGTGGAGGGTCAATTAGACGTATGTTGCTTGTATAATTGTCTACTATTTGTTAAACATTTTTCACTAATGTATTAATTTCCTGGAAATTGGACATAGCAATTCAATCTAAGGCAATTCATTTAATTTTATATACATGTTTCCATTGACATTGAATGTGCGTTTATTACCTAAAATTCCAGTCCAAGTATGACTGCATACAATAAGACCGTTACAGACCCTGCCACTAGAACTTGCATAGTGCTTATGATGTGGACATGATTCAAATATCTTTTCTTCTTCTAGCTTTAACCAGTTGGACCTTCCGGCTTATGAGAGCTATGAGAAATTAAGACACATGCTGCTAATGGCCATCCAGGAGTGTTCTGAAGGCTTTGGACTGGCTTAATCAGAGACTTCCCTCAAACTGTTGAAACTAGTTTGCCTACTCCTCATACATTCACACTATGATTACAACATACACAAGTCTCATCAACATCACTGGAAAAGTGTTGATGTATGGCGTGGTTTCTATTCCATGTAAAATGTGCAAAACCAGCAAGTGAACAGACTGATTTCTAATGACCGAGGGCGTCCTGTACGCGTTTCTCTCAGATCAGTTTAACGTCGAATGCACCTGCAGATTTCAAAGGATTAAAACATGGACTAATATAAGAGACATTTTCTTCATATAGTTTGTTTCTCTGTACAAAAGGTTTGGGAGTTTATTATGTTTAATCTTTTTTGTTCTGGCCGTGTAAAAAGATCTGAGAATGTTGTTTGAACAGGATGGTTATAAAATGTTTGGGGAAAACTGTTGGTTTCTTGTTGATAATTTGTGACCTCTCAAGCCTTGATGATGGGGAACATTTTTATGGGGAAAAGGGGTGGGGGGGATGTTTGAAAAATTTAAGATATTCACAAAAATGCACTTTTCAACATTTTGTGGCATTTTTAAGGAAGGATGGTACAAAATGAAGAGTGAATTTGAAGGAGAAAATACATTTACCTTAAATCCTAGAGTATTTTGGCTATTTAAATCGCTGACCCAGCCTTGAGCCTTTGATTCAGAGTGGAATAACTACATAAATAAATGCATAAAATTGCTTCCATTGTCTCTTTTAATACTTCTCAAAAATTGACACATTTTCCCCCATTAACGGAACTGAGACTCGTCTTTGCCCGGAGTCTTCACTTTAGGAGAAATGAGGGGTTTTTTTTGTTTTTTTTAAACACATGCCGTTACAACCGTTGTCATAGATGCCACTGTTATTTACAACTGGAATTGTTGACTTCCTCCAGTTGATGTTAGCAATATTATCAAACATTCTGCAGACATTGTAAAACTCCATATGCAGAGCTCGTATTTACCAGAAAAAGAACGTTATTTATGTAACACTGACAGTTTAGCTTTAAGAAAATACATATTTGTTTTGTTTTCTGGGAGTGAAGGGTTTAAACATGGTTCTTTCATTTGATGCTTTTAAGAGTGGTCTTATCAAAATTCCCGCTTAACGTCCAATTTAAACCCATTCTTGGAAGAGTTATCCCATCTGTAAATTAAGCCCAAATTCTTGTGGTGGAAACGCAGCTTTTGCCTTTTCTGGAACCCTTCCGTGTTTGCACCTGCTTCACCCATTCCCCTCCTGTTCCAGCCACTCCCTCACAGGTTGAATTTGTAACATGCTACTGAGCATGGGGGGGGGCTCGTTTCCCAGCTAAAAAGTCCTGGGTTCGAATCCCAGTCAGAACATGTCCTTTCTGAGTGGACTTTGCATGTTGTCTGCGTAGGTTTTCCCTACCACTAAAAACATGCACATTCAATCCTCCAGCTTTGGCAGTCCTGACTCTGGCTATGGGTCCCCAGGCGCTGTACGGCAACCACTGCTCTAGGATGGGTCAAATGCGGAAGACAAAGTTCCCTACGGGGGTAAATAAAGTGTACATGTGATTTTGCCAGTCACAGGAGATATGGCCGATGGTTTCAAATGAGGTGTGCCTTCACTGAGCAGAGGTCATTAGACAAATGGTTTGTACCTTGTCCTCTATCTCATTTTCAAGCGTGTTCTGGTTTTCATTATTCTCTCACACGACACTCACAGGCAAGTTTTATAAATGATAAAATAGTTTGTTTTATTATTAAAAATATCAATAGACCGAAAGGGGGAAACCTTAAAGCAGACTTACACCACTTTGTCGACTCACCCGAGTTAATGCTCCACTGCCACATGTATGGTTTGTGTCCATTTAAATGCATTCTTGTGAAAGGTTTTAGGATCAGGGACACATGCGTTTGCCAGACCAGCCATGAACAAATACCAAAGAATTTTTTTTTTGTAAATGTGTGTGTTTATGGTTGTTCTGCTGCTATTGTCCTGTACTCTGTTGTACCTGACCCCAGTAATGATCTAGTATAGTTGGCCATTTATTATGGAGAAATTCCCCCAGGATCTTGGCCTTTAGAGCTTAATAGACTCATATCCCTAGAGAAATGCTTTATTGAAAAAGGCCCATTTTCCATGATCACTATTAAAAAGCTTGGTACAAACAACAGGGCGCAGAGAAGTGATTGCTTGTTCTGGGTGGACTGGCGCAGAGGAGGAAGTGTAGGCCGCTGAAGTTCATTAATAATGTCTCTTTTGTGTGTGAGCCAGAGCCTCTCAGCCTAATACATCTAGTGCTCGTGTCCTACACGTCAGGCATAAATCACTAGTGCTGCCTCCCAGAACGGAATGATAAAAGCTCTTTTAGCATGTGGCCAGAACGACCAACAGTTCATTACTGTAATTGGCTGACTGTTTCTAATCATCTTGAAAGATACTTGTACTTAAGGAAATGGGTCGCATGCTTTAACTGAATATTGCTCTTGACCTATTTGGGGGAAAGAAAAGGAACTTTGAATTGTATGGTGTTGGTGTCTGAACAGGACCAAAATTGATATGTGTATTAAGTGCATTTTCTGTTCAGCCAGTGGAATATGACAGTTTATTAATGCTTCATATTAGCCTTTGTAAAACTTGATGGCGGAAGCAGCCTAACTACATTTACACCTGCATAAGAGTGAATATATACGCAGAAGTTTACATCCACCATAGTGTGTCTGATCCAACAACAAATCCATAGATCCATGGTCCGATGTAAATGTTTACATTATTAGAAGCAAAAAGCAAACTTCACATGGCTAATTTGCATGGATACAGTGGGTTTATTAGTTCAAAATAAATTACAGAAATGAGCTCGGGGTTGGAGCACATTGTACATTCCGCAGAGTGTTCCATTTACAAGAAGCATAGCAGCTTCTCCACCATCACAAGGGGAACCTTGAGAAAGTTCATAACTCATAAGTCAGAAATTTGGTGCCAGACTATGGAAGGCTTAATAAACAAGAAAAACTAATATAAAGTCAATCCGGACCTTTAGGAGCCAGTGGGGATCCCTTAGAACAAGTGTAATATACATTATTATCATGTGATCTTTTTCTAGTCTGTCAAAATGTGAGCTGCAGACACTAAACTGATGTAAGAGGAACTCCTGATCACCTTCTTAATGTGAGAAAAAGACAATTTAGTCACATGATTTATGTGTTGATAAGGATTTACTTCTCAGTTGATACATCCATATTGTTCTGCTTCATCCATTGCCAAACAAAGCAAAGATGCTTAGACTTCTTCCCTATCCACAAACATTTCCTCCAGATCATCCCGGGGAATCTTGAAGCATTCCCAGGCCAGCTGTGACATGTCTCCAGTTATATCCTGGGTTTTCCCGGGGGTTTCCTCCCAGTGAGACATGCAAACTACAAGCCTACGTTGGCTTTTATATTTGAAAATGCCTCTCTAGATTGACATCAAGCAAAGTGTTTTCTAATATCTACCCAGATTGACAGCCAAAATACAATACAATACATGTATTCTTGTAAATCACAACAGTAGTCATTTCAGAGGACTTAACAAAACCATTGAAATCACCAACACAGATCAGAGAATCAACAGTTAAGACACACAAAAAAGGACACATGTTGATAAATTGCCATACATGTTGTAGAATGTTAAAGTGTCCTGGATCATCACCACAGTCCTTCTTGTTAGACACTAACTGTCCAACAGACCCTCCTGCATCGGCAAGGAAAAACTATAAAAACCCAGTTGAATTAAACTGAGAAACCTCAGAGAGATCCACATTGAGAGAGGGATCTGCTCCCACGGACGGACGGGCTATAGATCCAGGATCTAAGCTACATAACGTGGACCAATGCCACGCAGCGGTCGCAGAACGTGGACAGGTCCGGTGCAGGACTGAAGCAGCTCCCAGGCGGGTCAGGCAGGACAGTCCGCAGGTGTAGATGGAGGAGGCCAGGTTCAGAGGTTCCGTCGTCGCACCATGAAACAGACAATGAACAGACTACAGTAATAATCCTAACAATGCAGACAGATGAAGTAGGAAGGAGGAGAGGATAGTGCTCAAGTTACCATACTCCTCCCAGCACACTGACTACCTACGTAGCTTGACTGACAATCTAAGATTTTTAACCAAAATCAACCCACTAATAAAATTGGGTCTAAACCCGCAGTAAACCAGGACATTTATCAAAGAAAACAAGACCTTCCCATCTTTGCTAGAAGAGTTCTATTTCCCTGAAGTTAAAACACACACTATTTTATCATAAATAAATATAAACTTGAGATTGTGATTTAAGTGGACACAGGTTCTGAGAGTGTGAGGCCTTGGGAAGGTGTGATGTTTTTGTCTGTCACTTTTGTCATCACCTTCTGATGCTGTTATATCCGCTGCCCATGAGGACTCCAGTGCACTCCAGTGTGAGGACTCCAGTACACTCCAGTGTAGGAAAAATATTAACTCTTAATTAACAAATGTGGAATGGCACAGCTTGCATAACATTACACAAGATAAAAACGTGTTGCTTTAGTTTAGTACAAGAGGGAATATACTACATTCCATGTCAAGTGATTACATATCACATTATTTGTCACACACTAGGGAAACACTCAAAAGAAGAGGATTAAGATGTATAAAGAATGTATAAAGTCAAATCTTTATGCTTAAAAATCTAAGTACAATTATACTTAAAAACCAAGTGTTTAAGTAAAGGAAGCACAATATGCAGTTAGCAGCATGGGGTTCCAGGCCAGAATATACAAAGAGTTACCACAGCAGCATATGTTTGCATTAGCAGAGATGAACACATAAAAAAATAGAGAAGAAAGTGACCAACCTGTAATGAATATACTTACATTTACAACAATATACACAGTTTACAGTAATAATACAATACAACATACAACTTCTTTCATTGTAAGCTTAAAGTGTGGATTCTTGACATGCAAACAGCCCTGTCTCAAACACTTGGAACTCAACTTATATACAAACATCTTATAGGTATAGATAGAT